GACACTGATTCCTAATACATACAGTCTCATTTAGATAACCTGTCTTTCATCAGGGGCATTTCAAGTATTTCTCATTTTGGAGGTTATTTTATTTATTTTTACTATGATAAACATCATTTTACATATTTGGGGGTGTATGTGTTAGAATTTTCTTGGGGTAAATTCCTAGGTGCAGAATTATTAGGTCAAATGTACATGCATTTACAATTTTGAGAGACACTGACAATTCTTTCTAAAAGTACTTTACCAGTTTACTAATTTTCCTCACATCTTGGTTGTAGCAGGGTATGCGCTGCCTTTTTGGTCAGGCGGTGGGATGGATGAGATGCATCTCATTGTGGTTTTCATCTTCTTGCAAAATTGGAAGTAACAATCAAACCCTGTTTTCATAAACCTCTCCCCACCTGTGAGTTGCCTTTTTTTTTTGTCCTATTTTGTTTCTTTTCCATTTTTTTAAGTTGAATTACTTCTTCTTTTTTTTTTTAAAGATTTTATTTTTTTATTTGACAGAGAGAGACACAGCAAGAGAGGGAACACAAGCAGGGGGAGTGGGAGAGGGAGAAGCAGGCTTCCCGCTGAGCAGGGAGCCCAATGCAGGGCTCGATCCCAGGACCCTGGGACCATGACCTGAGCCGAAGGCAGACGCTTAAGGACTGAGCCACCCAGGCGCCCACTTCTTCATTTTTTATTAGTTTTTGTGGATTATTTTTAAGGATCATAATTTTTGTCACTTGCATTCAAGAATTTCCCCTAACTTGTCATTTGACTCCATGGTACTTTTCACCATACTCAATGTCGAATTTACCCAATTTTATCAATCCATTTCTTCATGGCTTCCTGATTTTGTTCTTTGTTTGTAAGTGTCTACTCTACACCAAGATTACAAATATATATTTTATTTAATCTTTTTACTTTTTTTGTGATTCCTTGTTGCTGTTGGACATTATTTTGGGGAACAGAATGAAGAAGAAAACTAGATTTGTTTTTTCCAAAGAGCTAACCTGTTTTCTCAAGATCATTTATTGGATGATTCCCTTTCTTCCTCCTAACTGCAAAACCTCCTCCAATGTCAACTACATTTTCATACTATTGTAGGTGTGTATTCTGTTGAATTGATTTGTCTGTAGAAATTCAGCAAGTTTTAATTGTGAATAAAACAGTCTAATACAATTCTCCTACTTTAGAGCTTCAGCGTTTCCTTCACGTACATTGCTGAGGGAGAAACTGCATTTTCTCAGCATTAGCCTAGCACGTGTTCTTTCCTTCCTTACAAAGGCAATACAAGCGTTAGATGAATTTCCCCATGTATAATGATTTACAGAGCTGGCCGGGAGAGATCCAGGCCCCAGGAGTGCTCCTTTGCAAAGTTTGGAGGGCACTGGCCTTTTTCTGTACGCCTGGTTAATAATGCACCCAGCTGACATCCCTGTGGTTACTGTGGGCAGGGTACACTGGACATTTGATGAGTCTCCAAATAAATATTCTTGGTTCAATAAAGAACAGCTTTAATAAGCAGACAGCATTAATCTCCCATGATTTATCTAACCTTTTAAGTAAGCCGGCAAACTAATGATGCAGCAAGATAATAGAGTTACTTTTTCTGTATTTTTCAGTATCTGTTGAATGTAAGGGAAATCAAAACATCAGTCTTAATCAGTTCTAATATTCTCTGCATTTAATGAAATTGGGGATTGACTACTTTGTTAATGAAAACTAGGAATCCCTCCAGCTGCATCAGATCCCTCTTGCCTGAGGATCCGGTCCTCTCAGCCCCAGGCACCGTAATGGAGCCTGGACCTAGGGGAGAAAGCAGAAGTCACTTTTGAACTGGAACAGCTGTCAGAGGGCGCAAGTGTTTTAGCGCGGAAGCAGATCGTTTTGCATGTTTTCTGTGGGTCATGCTTTTGAAATACGTTCGTTGTTAAGTCCTACAAACTCATGACAGGCAACAAGCTTTATCTCCAGTTCCTCCAGGACAACATAGCACAGATAGGCTGAGGAAACTGTCGAAGGTCAGACAGGTAGCTTTGCTGGATTTGGGTGCGCATGCTTGGGCGTCGGACTCCTCGGGCCGCTCTCTGAGTCAGCGGGGCCTCCAGTGAGGTGTGCCGATTGATACCGACTCCACGTTCTCAAGGAGCTCGTGGTCTTCCCAGGGGTGATTAGAAAGGCAAGGAGTAGTTTACATATCAGAAAAGATTTTTTTTAAGGTGAGAAAAGAATTCTTTTTTTTTTTTTTTTACATTTAATACTGAACTGGTTACTTTCAAAGGTGGAAAACCTCTTTGGGTGGTGTTATTACACAAGGGTGAGCGCATGTGACTGCTCATGTTATTCCAGGGTTAGTTTAAATGCAAAAAGGACGAAACCTCGCTGGCCCTAGCTGTCACGTCCTTTCACGCTTGTCTGTTCCTTGATAGAACTGTGAACTTTCCAGCGAGGTCGTACGGAGTTGCGCTGGTAGTGTTCTAGAGGACAGAGATTCCCAGGTTACTCATGTAGAGCACTGCGCCAGGGGCGCCTCCTCCCCCTCTGCGATGCAGGCAGTAAATCCCAGGTATTCAGCCTTTCCATGGCCAGGTGGCACTTGGGCCCTGGGAGGTCTGCCCCCCATGGTGCTGATGACTTCCTTGATGACTGGCCACGTTTACCCTCAGGAACTCCGGGGCCAATGCTTAATCTCTGATCCTCCGATAAACGTCTTCACTCCCACCCCCAGCCCTCCTGTTCCTGAGCGTTGTGTTTGTCCCTGTCCCGAGATCTAAGAAGTGCCTTCCCAAGCCTGTCATCCCACCGTGTGCAGATATTCAGACTCACATGGGGTGGCCCAGCCCGACACAGAATCTCATCCTGGCGGGCAGGAACACACAGCAACCCCCACCCCCCCCACCCCGCCACCAAGTGAGAGTCAGACTCAGGCTCCGAAATCAGAGGCACACTTAGAACTGGTGCGCATGCATCAGCCTCTGAGTCACTAGGTGTCTCGCTCAGTGTCATCAATTACCAAAGTGACTTTGGGGAAAATCAGCAGGATTGTAATACTGGTAGTTCGGGACCAGAGAGGTTTAAGTGACTGCGGGATAGTTGTGCAGAAGCAACTAATTGGATTCTCCAATTATGGCAATATGGAGTAACATTTACAAAGAGTTTTAAAAATCGTCTGTAAGCCCATAATCCAGCAATGCTCCTGACATTACTTATGTGAGAATACAATGGATTCTAAAAGCTTGAAGGGGATGCAAGCCAGTCTCTCTCGCAGCCTTTGCCCCAAAGACCGCCGCCCACCGCCATCGGCAACTGCCCTCACTTACCCCAGGAAGGTTCTCTAAGTGCAGATCATGCTTTTCAAAATGGGAACAGTTGGGATCACACTGCCTATTATACACTTTAAAAATTAATCCCTTTTGGAAACCCTTATAATAAAAACCACCAATGGGCAGATTCTGAGCCTATTCTGATTTTGTTGGAATCCCTACGCTCCACTTCCTAGCCAGGTCACCTTGGAAACAGAAGTGAATCACTGCACCTTTCTTTCTTTCTTTCTTTTTTTTTCTATTTTGCTTAGAAATCATACTACAAAAAAATCTTTAAAAATTACCATTACTAGGGCGCCTGGGTGGCTCAGTTGTTAAGCGTCTGCCTTCGGCTCAGGTCATGGTCCCGGGGTCCTGGGATCGAGTCCCACATCAGGCTCCCTGCTCAGCGGGAAGCCTGCTTCCCCTCTCCCACTCCCCCTGCTTGTGTTCCCTCTCTCGTTGTCTCTCTCTTTCTATCAAATAAATAAATAAAATCTTAAAAAAAAAGTATCCTTTAAAAACATTACCCTGAATTAATTGGTAAACATTTTAATGATTTATTTTTATTAGTTTTATTTGTACATTTATGTTACTGCACACAATGCTGCCACATACAGGGATACTTATTGGACAGTGTTGGAGAAGCACCTACAAGAAGCACTTGGTAAGAATTCCAGAAAGCTGAATCCTTAGAACTTATATATTTGAAGAGTACACAACATTAAACAGATCAGATAATTGTGTGCAGCTGATAATCATAATTAAATATTTTGTCTCGAGTTCCTGCAACTTGGGGCAACATCGTCTGTATGATCGATACCTCACTGGAATCTCTGACTGCAGTTCTGTGATTCTGTATTAGTCTCCTCTCGAGGGTGAGGAAATAGAAAGGTGCAGAGTGGGGCGCCTGGGTGGCTCAGTCGTTAAGCGTCTGCCTTCGGCTCAGGTCATTGTTCCAGGGTCCTGGGATCGAGTCCCACATCGGGCTCACTGCTCAGCGGGGAGCCTGCTTCCCCTCTCCCACTCCCCCTGCTGTGTTCCCTCTCTCGCTGTCTCTCTCTTTCTATCAAATAAATAAAATCTTTGTCACTTTAAAAGGTAAAAAGCAGTCCTTCAATTTTGCCTCCTTTAAGATTGTTTTAGTGTTCTTTATGCTACGTTTGCTCTGCAGACATTTTTAGTGTTTTTATGAGTTAGTTTTTTTCCTGTTTCCATGATACCTTGCTGAGAAAGACTTTCCTGATATCCTCAGTAAATTCTCTTGTGCTTTCTTCTCGGTTATTCTTAAGTTACACTTTTATATCAAGTGTCGCAAAATATTCAAGTTTGAAAGAAGTTGCACAAATGACTCTGTTAGGATTGAAATGTTCTCTTCCTGTGTGGGGCTTCCCGTGTACCCCCCCTAACATCTGAGTCTGTGTAGGTGAGCTTTCTCCTCCATCATGTGGTCTGAATCCCCCCGTTAGTATATTGGGAGCTCCCTCTGTTCCTGGCATCACGTCGTGGAACACCTGCACACAGATCTTCCTGAGTGGATGCAGATGGGAAGGCTCAGCGATGGGTCTTCTCCATCCTCATCCCCAGCCCAGGTGTTGGAGGGAAGAGCGTGCTTGTGAAGGAGTGAGAAAGAGGTGATGCTGGGAGAGGGGGCGTCCTCTGGTCAGATGGTACAAATGCACTTTATCTTTTTCTCTCTGTTTCCAGTCTGGCATGATAAGAACACAAGAAGCAGATTACTTCCTAAAGCCGCTTCCTCCACACCTAGCGGGGAGACTGCAGGACCCCGCCGGGGCTGGGCCCCCCTCCCACATACTGTACAAGAGATCAGCAGAAGTGCGGGCTCCGGGGGCTCCCCAGGCTGTCATGACCGAGAGGGATCGGGAGCTGGGGAATCCACACCTGCGAGGCAGCTTCAACCTCCGGCACCCACCAAAGCAGCATTTCTGTGGAAGACGCAAGAAATGTATGTAAGGGCGATTCCTTTTGTGCATTTACCCATTCGGACCTTTATGTAAGCCCATGGAACGTTTTAAATATTCTTCAGAATAGTCTGTCTGTGAGGTGGGATTAACAGACCGTCTGCTAAACTTACATGATGATTCCATCGTCTGTGTGTTCACTATGCACCGTCTCCCATGGTGGATGGGCAGATCATGGTAGGTTTTTTGTTTAAAAGAACCATTCCCTGGGCAGATGAAATGACATACTGCCCAGAAATGCAGAATCCACTGGATGTCTTCAAAAGAGCCTGGCATGTCTGCTCAGTAATTCTATCGTTTTGAGGTCTAGATTTATGAAAGCCCACATAGTTTTCTGCAAGGTAATTTATCTCCATACATATTTATATTCTCTGCTCCACCACATCAAAAGGACAGGCTAGGCATGACCTAATTTGCCCACAATTTATCACCAGCGCTTTGTGGAAGTCCTTTGTTATGTAGTGAACACTCAGGAGGTGATGTGATAGTCACATTTTATGTGGGAGTCTCTCACAGTTCAGGAATGGGAGGTCAGTGTTTTCTGGAATTTCCCTCGTGTCCCTCAGCTTCCCCTCCAGCACCCCTGGATGCATTAAGCTTCCCCCCATGAACCCATCTTCTGCCAGCCCTTCTTCCCCGCTGGTTTCGCTGGCTGCTGGAGCCAGCACCCTAAAATGGAGACGGTCATGTTGCAGGTGGAATAGAGCCAATGACGGCGATAAGAGCAGCAAGTACTACTAAACTATCAGCACCTCTGTGTCGTCTGAACTCAGAGTGTCCTGTAGATAAAAGCCTTGCGCTACATTCACGTGAAAACTCAAACCCAGATCGACTAAGTCGGGGTTCGGTCAGCCGCAGGAAGAATGGGCTGGGAGCAAATGGAGGGGAACAGGAGTCTGAAGCGTCAGGGAGACAGAGTTGGAACGGGTATCGGAACAGGGTATCAGCATCAGCATCGGCTGCCTGGGGCTGCCTGGACGGACTGCAGCAGAGGGGTCGGCTGTGTGGGCCGGGGCCGGGCAGTCATAATCAGAGGTGAGACGGAAAGGGTCACAAAGCGCCTCTTGGAAGACATTAGTGATCCAGATGGTGGAGTTTGGTTTGCCTGAGATTTCTGTCCCTTCCCTGCTCGGCACACGGCAGTTCTGTGCGTGGCCAGGAGCCATGTGACTGGCAAAGTGGCGCTCGCTGCTTCCAGGCTGAAGCCTGTCATTCTTGAGACCTCCACTCTCCGTGCGTGGATGTTTCGATGTTGTTCACGGGGCTGTGCGCTTCCCTGCAGGAATCCCACCCTTCTGCCTCTGTGGGGCTCCCACGTACAAAGATTCTTCCCACTGGAGTCTCTGGTTTAGAAAATGGGCGTTTTGGGGTGTATGTTTAGGCACCTGTGGGAAGGGGTCATCAGAGGCAGACTGATTTGCTTAAAATCAAGGATGAAGCTGAACCACAGGCTCAGGGACCATGCTGCCAGATTGGACACCCACTTCTGACACTTTCTAGGGAGGGATTGTGACCAAGTGACGTTCCCTCCCTGTGCCTCTGTGGCCCCATCTGTGCCTGGAGCAGGCGTAGAGACGGCTCTTATTATCAAGGTCTGTGGCACGCGATGAGTGTTTTAATTACTTGGCCTGAGCCGTGATTATCTTCCACGGGGTTCGTTTAGGTTTGAGAGTATTTTAGCAAAGAGATAAAATGCACCGGATGTGGGTGCCAGTCAAACAAAATAGCATCTTCTAGCTGCACGGGCTGTGAATAGAGTTGGCATAGCTCTGAATTAGTGCCACCTAGATCTATGGGCAATTTAAGGTCTACAGTCACATGAAAAGCTTTTCTGAGGCATCACTCAACCTAATTTCCTTTAACACAGTGTTAACTTACCGATTATAAATGCCCAAACTATTTTTAAATGGCTCCAGGAGGACAGAGTATATTTTGTCTTGTAATTAAATGAGGTAAATATTTAGGGTGCTTTCTAGGAAATTCAGCTCTGCCATGAAGTGGATCTGTGTCACGTAGTTTGTAACCCATTTGAAACAAGACAGGCAAACCAGTTATGCATCCAGACATGGGAATCAGTTTTAAGAAGAATCAAGCCATTAAAATCTTCCAAATAAGCAAATGAGGCAAGATGGCACTGTGTTCTGTGACTGTTGGTTCTACCGCTTTGTTAGTAAACGTTCTGCAGAGGCCCCGTCCTGAATCCTTATGCCAGTGGTCTTTGAGCTTTGTGCTTCTGCGGCTAGAACATGAGAGCTTAGGGGTCCTCTCTCTTTGTTTTAAACCCGGACAAATTTACACAGAGGTAGACACAGCGATGGCTTCCATCACATCTAGGTTACACGAAATTTATTTACATCTCAAGTCCCACTTTGGTACAAGTTTTGTATCACAAAGTCTTAAGGGTTATATCGTTCATACATGAAGGTTCATTTTGCAAATCCAGTTTCTGTATAACAAGTCCCACTGCTGGTTTGGGGGTGACGGCTTTTGCTTTCATTTGTTCTCGGAACATCCCCTCCGTAGACATGCCCAAGCCTCCCAAGGAGGACCTCTTCGTCCTGCCTGACGAGTACGCGTCTTGCTTACGGCATAAGCGCTCTCTGCTGAAGTCCCATAGGAACAGAGAGCTGAACGTGGAGACGTTGGTGGTCGTCGACAGGAAGATGATGCAGAACCACGGCCACGAAAATATCACCACCTACGTGCTGACCATACTCAACATGGTAGGAGAGTCCTTCTTGTTGAACCATGTGTGTAATGCCCCCTCGTGGGGCATGCGCATTTATGTCTCACATGCAAGAAATGCGTTCTCTCTGGTGACTCCTTCACTCTTACTGTGTTCCAACCTAAAGAGCCACGTTCAGAACGTCAGAGAACACTATAAGGAGGGGAAACGGTCCGGCCCTCTCTGTGAGCCAGGGGCATGTTTTGGGTGGGTCAATGTCTTCATTTACTAGAAATCTATAAGAGGGCGCTGAGACTATTTAGTGCAGTAAATCCGCTTATGTGTGATTTTAGAGGGCTATACAGAAATACCCACCTCTTTAGGAACATTAAGGGTTAAATACTGAATATATACTATTTTATCTACAACGTCAGAAAAACCTACAACCCTATAGGCTACCATCTTGGGTAGAATGTCCCGTGTCCCAGATTGGCAGCCGTTGTGATGACGAGAAGCATCTAAGCCCCACGGGGGTGACTAAGTAACACGTAAATAATGGAAGACAAGATCCCAGGTCACGTGCGTGTGGTTTGAAAACGAGTTGGGATGACGATGTTCTGGAAAACACACTTGCATTCCACCTCAGCACCCCTGAACCTGGGTGTCTTTGCTGGTGTCCCGTCTGGCTGCCTGCCCCACGGTGAGGATTCCACGCTTGCTCTACCTGGCCCTTAGACATTTCTGTACCGGTCCGTCTAGCAGCCTGAGAAAGTCGGCATTGCTGTGTCACGAGAGAATGGGGACCCGCCGTGCCCGGCAGGACTCTGGGGACGGGGGAAATGGCACCACGCACGGGGCCTGACAAGATTGCCCGTCTTTTTCAGGTGTCTGCTTTGTTCAAAGACGGAACGATAGGAGGAAACATCAACATTGCAATTGTAGGTCTGATCCTTCTAGAGGAAGAACAGGTAATCTGCCTCTGAAGCTGCGCCTTCTTTCCTCCCAGAAAAATAAACGCAAAGTGAGGCCTTTTTTCCCCTCAATGTGATCCCTCTGTGGTTTCTTGACTTTTCTCTCGCTTGGGAACAAAAGTGTTTAATATTTTGTGTCTAATGCAATGAGTTTCTTACCGGTTCTTTTAATGATTATTTGAATCGTGTGTGTGTGCGTGCACGTGCGTGCGTGTGCGCAGAGGTAGTGAGGAATGCTCTCTTAGTAGGCGTAAGAGAAAATAGAACAGAGGAGCTGCCTTAAACATATGCGTGGGACCCACACTGGGGATACAAAGTGCACAGTGTGTCTTCAGCCACCTCCCCAACGTGAGCTTTTAGGCTCCTGGGTGGAACTGAGCCCTTTCAGGTCTTTTTTTTTTTTTTTTTCTTTTTTCTTTTTAAAGATTTTATTTATTTATTCATGAGAGACAGAGAGAGAGAGAGGCAGAGGGAGAAGCAGGCTCCCCGCTGAGCAGGGAGCCCGATGTGGGACTCGATCCCAGGACCCTGGGATCATGACCTGAGCCGAAGGCAGACGCTTAACCATCTGAGCCACCCAGGCACCCACCCTTTCAGGTCTTTGCTAGAAAACGAAAACTACAGTGAAATCGTGCTGTGGGGCATTGTTGTTTTCCTCTGTGACCTCCTAAGACTGACCGGACTTACAGCCCCTACCAGCTTCAGTCACAGGATTGTGTTTTCACAGAGATTCTGGAATGCCATGTGCATGTCCCTCATTGCATCCAAACACCTCATTGTGGCGGATCTTGGTCGCAGTGGGTAAAAGCGTCTCCTTGCTTGCATCCCAGCGTCCCTGTGTAAATACACGGGCTTGCACTTCAGTTCAAGGGAGGTTCTATATGCACATTCTGTGGCACATGTAATGGGGGAGTCTCAGCCATGCAGGACTCTCACTTCTGCTTGGCCCCAAGCTGATCGCTGGCTCCGCACCGGAGGAGTGAGCTTCCCGTGCTGACATCTTAGCAGGGTCCCCCATTAGCCATGGTTCTCTTGTTTATAACACAGAATTTTTTTAGCTGAAACCAGAGATCACTCATAAGATCTAAGATGCCTCCAGAAGGGGAGCTTCTGAGGTGTTGCTCTTTTTCTGGACAGTGGGGGCCTGCAGGGGCAAGCCTATTTCTAGCCCGAGTGGTCAGGAAGATACAGCTTCATTGTCTGTGTGAGTGAGCGTCTGGGCAGGGGCTGCTCAACTGGCAGGGCGTCTCAGGTGACAGGTTAATTATTCGTTGTATTAAATCGGTTTCACCTTGGAATTCATCCAAGCTGCAAAGAATAAGCGAGGTTATCTTTTGATCGTACACCTGTGTTAACTCTGATTAATGCGGTGTTCCTGGAAATCACCTGCTGAAGAATGTGAGGCATGTCCCAGTGCGGCAGTAGACTTAGGTGCATTTGACTCTCTGCAAAGACAAAATAAGCACTGAAGGAGAAAACCTCTTCAGTGAGCGAGAAACGCACATTTCAACCCAACATCTAATCGTGAATGCTTTACTCAAGTTGTCCTGGAATCACGCTGTTTAACCTGGCTTTCTCTGACGGAGCCATGGGAAGAAATAGCTACAAAGATCAAATAACTCATTGCAGCCTGCTCTGGTGTTCCTGACCCCCCACTTCTGAATTCCCCTGACATTTCACTGTTGCTGTGTTAGACGTGGTATACATGCATCTGGTGGGATGTATCCTGCATTGTTTCCTTCTGGCTCCTGTCTGTTTTCTAGGAAGAGAGCTTTTCCAGTTGACCTACCCCTTCTCATAAGCATGTTGCTTCTGTAGGAAAGTGACTTAATTTAATACTCTCAATGATAAATGGTAAGAGTTATGAATCAGAAATCCCAGGTGCCCAGCTTGGTTATGAAATCAACCATCTAGGTGTGTTTTTGTGTACGTGCAAAATCACATAAAAATGGTTCTGTTGCCTTATATAAGTTTACAGAGTGCTTTACAAAGATTCTGATGCAGACCTTGCATGCACGGCGACTCATCTTTCTTGGGGCATTGAAAATGCATTCGGGGTCGGCTAACTACATCCCAGCTGTCTTTGTACAGAACTACAGAAATGAACAGAAGTGTCCACCCTGAATCCATTTTATAGAAGACACCCTCCTTTGGATTTTAATCCATGAAATGGGTGTATCAGCTTATAGGCCATTCGGACCCATCTGTGTAGTTGAAATCCCAGTTACTGACAGGCTGATGACAGTGAAGTAACAACTGGCTTGTGATGTGTTTTCTCTCTGTTGTCATGGGGGTCTTGGTCTGTCTTGCGCAGCCCGGGCTCGTGATAAGCCACCATGCGGACCACACGTTAAGTAGCTTCTGCCAGTGGCAGTCGGGATTGATGAGCAAAGACAGCACGCGCCACGACCATGCCATCTTGCTGACGGGTCTGGACATATGTTCCTGGAAGAATGAACCCTGTGACACCTTGGGTAAGACCCTCTCGCGGCATTTTGAGGAGCGCGTGCGTGCTGTGCGCCCTTGGGGGCCCAGGACATTGAGGATTTGCCCCTCGTTGCAAATCCATGGTGGTAGTCGCTGCTGAATATGGCTGTAAGCACAGATGTGCTTCCCTGGAGGTACTTGGCCAAGCCTCAGTGTGTGCGTTTATTCACCCAAAGTGAAGACTTCACAAGGAGCGGTCCCTCATACATTCAAGAGATCCTGTCTCTTCTAACTTAAGAGTTTCTCGCTTTTCTTCTCCCATGTGTGAGAACGGGGTGAACAGATTCAAGGATGTCCCATTCTGTGGCAGAAACAGTACATTTATGAATGTTTACAGAGATGTTATAGCGATATTATATTCTCCATATTTCCTTTGCTGCATAAATACCACAATCTTAGCAATTTTTTAACATGTTTATGAGGCTGTGCATATTTTGGAGGCAGGACTTTGATATTTTTTCCAAATAGTCTAAAGCACACTGTGACCAGGGTTCTCTTAGCCATTTTCTCTAACTCTGCATTTCTTTCTGCGAACTTAGTCAGCTAGAGCTCAGTCAAATAGAGGTTAATCGTGACTGCTTGTTCCTGGAAAGGCCTGCTTACAAGGTGGGCCCTGGCTGGATGCTGACAACCAGACTCCAGGGTGCTTTCCGATCCCTGCTTGATGAGCGGGCTCACTGTGCCTGCACCGCTTGCTTGTACGGATAATGGGGTTTCCACGGGACGTCTGCTTTCCTTCTGGGAGTCTGGACTTTGGGTCCACACCATGCAGGGCTGCTATGCCATCAGCCCCGGATAAAATCCTTGGGTCCTGAGTGTCTAATGAGCCTGCCTCGTGTTTCTGGGGGAGTGAAGTGCATCCTGTGTGGATCCACTGGGAGAGGGCTCTGGAAACTCTTGCATGGTTTCCTCCAAACCTCTCCCCGTGCATGAGTTCCCATTGCTGATTTTGTCCTGCATCCTCTGGTGTCTGTATGAAACTATACCTGAGAGTATGACAAAGCCTGAGTCCTATGAATCCTTGGACCTGGGCTGGTCTTGGGGACCTCCTGCTGTACCCATTCACTACAGTACTCTTTTATTCAGGCTTCCAAGAACACAGATTTTTATATAAAAAGGCAGAGATTCTTCTCCATCTACAGGAAACACCCTTTTCTACTCTGCCCCAATTATAACCTGTAACATGAACACCACATACAGCCGTGAATTATTTTCCATGTGGAGAGCAGATCCCCCTCAGTCACATTGCAAAGAACCCCTTATGTGCTTGCCCAAGAGTTTCCCATTCAGATTTCGCCACATGAAGGTGAGAAGTACACTTCTCTGAAGGACAGGGGATAAATATGCTTATATAATATACTTTCTTTATTTTTTTGCAATGACACTGCTGTATATTCTTTTGATCTCTATGCCCCATAGGATTTGCGCCCATAAGTGGAATGTGTAGTAAATATCGCAGCTGCACAATTAATGAAGATACGGGTCTTGGACTGGCCTTCACCATTGCCCATGAGTCTGGACACAAGTAAGTGTACTCCGTGGGAAGCTAGATCCTGGGCTGCTTTCCCCACTGGATGGTTGCCATAGACACGCTGGTTCATTAGGTCAAGTCTGTATGGGGCATCACGTATATCCAAGAAGAATGTCACCGACAGGTAGGACATGGATCCCTTAGGTACTTCTTATTTTTCTTTTGTTTTGTTTTGTTTTTATTTTAAACAGGCTCCATGCCTAGCATGGAGCCCAACATGGGGCTTGAACTCACAGCACTGAGATCAAGACCTGAGCTGAAATCAAGAGTCAGACGCTTAACCGACTGAGCCACCCAGGCGCCCCTTCTTAGGTTTTTATTTCAGTGCCAAGCCATGCACAGTCTAAAGCCGTGGCGATTCCCGCATCTACAGCCTCTCTCCTCTGCTCTTCCTTCACGTCCCAGCTCATGCGTGCGTGTAGGGCTGCATACAGTTGTCTCAGCCTCCGCTCCTTTGTCCTGTTCTGAACTTTGGTCCTGCACACTGATTTCATTCCATGGTTAGTTCCTATCAGGGACGATAGTGACAAGGCCGTCTCTTGTCAACTAGTTACCCTGGAGTTTTGTGTGCTTCTATCACTTCTATAATTTGTAGAGATGTCTTTTGATTGGAATGCCAAACAGAGTTTGGAGAGTGCAGGTTAGACTAGGGGTCGGGGCTGGTAGGAGCTGGTCTGCTGCCCACATCTCCAGATGTCCAGCATAATGGGCAGCGTCAGGGTGCGTGGTAAGCCTGGGCTCGGTGCAGCCGGATGTCAGCGCTGACCAGAGCACTCAGCAGCCGGTGGCTTGTCATGGTGGCGTCTTTCTACATGAAAATGTTACATTTGTTCCTGTAGAATGAACACTTTCTATCAATTACTTACAGACGCTATCGTTCTACAATAAGGTTTCTTGGGCTAATCATTCAATAAGCTGCGTTAGGTCCCGTCTTCGCCTTACTGCGGCCCACCTGCTGACTTCCTGGCCTTGGCCCGATCAGCATGAGCGCCAGGAGTGGGAGCACAGGTGTCTTCCTGGTACACAGCAGCTCTGCTTGAAGTTTCTCGCAGAAAATGCACAACTGGGAATTACCATTTTCCTATTTTTCACTTTCACCCTGATTTTACTTGCAAACCACAAACCCGTTTGTGATTCAGTTTTTGCAGAACTGACGTCTCCATCCCCTGGTAGAAACGGACTGAGGCAATGCCTGTCCCCTCGTCCTGTTGTGTGTGTGTGTGTGTGCACGTCCATGTTCCCCTTGTCCTGTTGTGTGTGTGTATGTGCGTCCGTGTTCCCCTCGTCCTGTTGTGTGTGTGTGTGTGCGCGTCCGTGTTCCCCTCGTCCTGTTGTGTGTGTGCATCTGTGTTGCCCTCGTCCTGTTGTGTGCATGTGTGTGCGTGCGTCCGTGTTCCCCTCACCCTGTTGTGCGTGTGTATGTGCGCGTCCATGTTACCCTCGTTCTGTTGTGTGTGTGTGTGTTTCCGTGTTCCCCTCGTCCTGTTGTGTGTGTGCGTGCATCCGTGTTCCCCTCATCCTGTTGTGTGTGTGCATCTGTGTTGCCCTCGTCCTGTTGTGTGCATGTGTGTGCGTGTGTCCGTGTTCCCCTCACCCTGTTGTGCGTGTGTGTGTGCGCGTCCATGTTACCCTCGTTCTGTTGTGTGTGTGTGTGTTTCCGTGTTCCCCTCGTCCTGTTGTGTGTGTGCGTGCATCCGTGTTCCCCTCATCCTGTTGTGTGTGTGCATCTGTGTTGCCCTCGTCCTGTTGTGTGCATGTGTGTGCGTGTGTCCGTGTTCCCCTCATCCTGTTGTGTGTGTGTGTGTGCGTCCGTGTTCCCCTCATCCTGTTGTGTGTGTGTATGTGTTTCCGTGTTCCCCTCGTCCTGTTGTGTGTGTGCGTGCATCCGTGTTCCCCTCATCCTGTTGTGTGTGTGCATCTGTGTTGCCCTCGTCCTGTTGTGTGCATATGTGTGCATGCGTCCATGTTCCCCTCATCCTCTTGTGTGTGTGTGTGTCCGTGTTCCCCTCGTCCTGTTGTGTGTGTGTGCGCGTGCATCCGTGTTCCCCTCGTCCTCTTGTGTGTGTGTATGGGCGTCCATGTTCCCCTCATCCTGTTGTGTGTGTGTGCGTGCGTCCATGTTCCCCCCGTCCTCTTGTGTGTGTGTGTGTTTGTCCGTGTTCCCCTCGTCCTGTTGTGTGTGCACGCATCCGTGTTCCCCCCGTCCTGTTGTGTGTGTGTGTGCGCGTCTGTGTTCCCCTCGTCCTGTTGTATGTGTGCATCCGTGTTCCCCTCGTCCTGTTGTGTGTGTGCATCCGTGTTCCCCTCATCCTGTTGTGTGTGTGTGTGCACGTCCGTGTTCCCATCATCCTGTTGTGTGCGCACGTCCGTGTTCCCCTCGTCCTGGTGTGTGTGTGTGTGCGCGTCTGTGTTCCCCTCGTCCTGTTGTATGTGTGCATCCGTGTTCCCCCCGTCCTGTTGTGTGTGTGTGTGCGCGTCTGTGTTCCCCTCGTCCTGTTGTATGTGTGCATCCGTGTTCCCCTCGTCCTGTTGTATGTGTGCATCCGTGTTCCCCTCGTCCTGTTGTGTGTGTGCGTCCGTGTTCCCCTCATCCTGTTGTGTGTGTGTGTGTGCGTCTGTGTTCCCCTCGTCCTGTTGTGTGCGCACGTCCGTGTTCCCCTCGTCCTGTTGTGTGTGTGCGTCCGTGTTCCCCTCATCCTGTTGTGTGTGTGTGTGTGCGTCTGTGTTCCCCTCGTCCTGTTGTGTGCGCACGTCCGTGTTCCCCTCGTCCTGGTGTGTGTGTGCGTCCGTGTTCCCCTCGTCCTGTTGTGTGTGTGTGTGCATCCATGTTCCCCTCGTCCTGTTGTGTGCACGCGTCCGTGTTCCCCTCGTCCTGTTGTGTGTGTGCGTACGTGTTCCCCTCGTCCTGTTGTGTGTGTGCATCCGTGTTCCCCTCGTCCTGTTGGGTGTGTGTGTGTGCGCGCGTCTGTGTCCCTGAGTGTGTGTCGCATACGTGCACCTGCCTGTAGTGTGGCCCCATGAGGCCCTGCAGACTTGGCTGTCTGAACTGATGACCTGAAAATGAAGCTCATACCCTGCTTCTGATCCCTTCATTATAGGTAATGATTGACTTTTTCAGTGCCTAGAAAATTGCCCCTACAATTTATGAAGCTTCCAGTTAAATCATAATTGTATTTCTAATAGGCTGCTACCATTAAAACTTCAAAAAAACTCATTACGTTAACGACATGAGGCTCTGGCTGTCCCCTGAACCATACCTGAATTTAATTAAACAATCCGGGCAAGAAATGTTTAAGTCACCGAGGGCTGAGCAGCTCAGTATTAAGTGAAGGGATGTAGTTCGGGACTGGCCGTGTGCAGAGTTGCAGGTGGCGGGTCTACCCAAAGTGAAACTGGACACCTCAGAGAAGGGTCTTCAGCGTCAGCAAGGATCAGTGTCTCCTTTTATTTTTTCTTAGGAGTCAATTAATATTCCCTTTCTTCACCGGAACTGGGTCTAGATGGAAAAGGTATTTTTCCAAACATGGTAACAGTGTTTTTATTTCAAGTGGGACTGTGGAGGGGAGGAAGGAAATGGGCTGTAGGTTTGGATGAAAGGGAGTCCTGCTCCTCATAGGCTTCAACTCCAGAAAATGATCAGCTCCTTCTTGAGCACCTGACGTTAAGAGGGCATCATGCAACAAGCAGGACCTGGGAGCTCTGAACATGTCACGTCAGCACTGAAGTCGCTTCCGATCCTATTGCGGAAACAGGAAGTGCACGTGGGAGATATGCAAATGAGTCGTGGGTGCCACATGCATGATGAGCGACCACAGCACTAATAGTAATAACAGCAGTAGTAATAGTATTGCTTGCTGTTCATGGAACACTTTGTGAGATTTGCAGAGCAATCTCCATGCAGCTCAAGCCGGGGAGACCGCGGGGGACACTCCTCTCCCCGCTCCACCAGGCTCGTGGGCACACGATGCTGAGGGTTCAGCGAATGTGAATGAACAGAACGGACAGAGTGAGTCAGGGATGAGGAGATGGATGAACGAAGAGTATTTCACTGAGTCGTTTGCTGTGGCAACTACATCAAATGGGAAAAGCATGCAAGGCTCCCTGATTTAACCCAATGGATTTTTGTTGAATTGAATTGAAAATGAACACACTTACTCATTTCTCTGATTTAATAAATACTACTTCTTGGAGGAGAGTTGTCACTTGGTGTATGGATCAAACATCATAACATAAACAGCATGCCTGGCAATGAACTCCAAGCGGGGTCAAATTCTGAGTCCTGCGCCTTAAGAATTAAAAAGTAATCATGCATCTGTTAGGACTTTATAAAACATCCTGCTTTAGAGGTTCGTTTTACTTTTTCAGGTTTGTTTACATTCAGAGGATATCGCTGAGGTCAGAGGCATACTTTTCTCGAGGCCTTTCAGCCAGAGATTTTCTAACCTTTAACTCAGAGAAGGATCTCTGTGAATGTCAGCCAATTTCATCTACTGAGTCCAGTTATTTTCATGTCCGGACATCTTGTGGTTTCTATGGAGGAATCTGACCTGCACATAGAAATCACTGGGACCCAGGGTTTGGATTTGTGTTGGAAAAGGGAGGGAGACAGGACCAGGAGTGAGGATGTGTGTTCTCCTTTAGGATGTGGGGTTCGGTCAGGCTTGTTCCTAAGCCAGTGGTGTAGGGTGAGTTTCCTGGTCATATTCGATCACTTGGCATAGGATGTGCGGTTTGCTAGAGGCAGATTTTGAGAACTGGCACAGACACGTTGAATGTTGAACTACAGGTTTTGGAGAATATGTCCCCTGAATGGCATGATTCCATTGGAAAAATTCCCACGTATTAAGGAAGTGGTGCCATTTAGGAGTAGGACCTTAGGCCTGGGATTCCGGATCCATGCAGTTCTCCTGAAGATTGGCCGCGACCAGTGTGCGCTCTGCCTTTTCTTCTCTTACCTAAGCTTTCCTCTGCAAAACCAAGAGAGTCCGAGATCCTCGGCATGATTGTGCAGGTGCAATTTCAGGTGTACTGGTTGAGCTGAGCATTCCTAACATACAACCCTTGCTTAAATGCTTAACTTGCATTATCGTTGCAGACCATCAAGACAATATTAAAACATATTGGCTGTGCTTAGAAATATTCATGACCCATCATTCTGCCACTTGTCTTCTCCCACACGTATCGAACCGTTCACTGAGCATGATTTCCATTCTGCCAGCAAAGCACTGTGTGGGGTTCTATGAAGATTAGTGACTCACCCCCTCCAAGAGTCTTCACAGAAAGACAAAATAGATACGGCGTGCACAGATCAGGCTGTGCGGGCTGTAGGCATTGCAAGAGACTCCGTCAGGGAGGACCAGGGAAGTCTCGAAGCAGAAGTGGCTTGCTAATACATTAAGGCCCAGCAGGCTTGGCTGGTGAGGTTAGATGCCCTTTTGAGCATTTGAGGGTGAGGCTGTGCACTGTTATCAACTGAGCCCCGCAGCTGGCTCAGGGGGGCACCAGCGGTGCTGCGGGCTTGTGCAATATCAACTACAGACCCTCTGGCCGGTGACTGTCAGACTGCCCTCTAGGGAGCCCTAGCAGGTCGGAGGGTCATCTCTTACCAATTGTATTTATTGTTCCTCCTAAGAGTTTTTGTTTCTGTGTCCAAAAACATTTGAAACCTATTGACCTTTGGCTGAACACACACACACACACACACACATACATCAAACGTATAAAAGTAACATCTAGGCATTGAGTAATTGGAGCAAGACCACATTTGAATAAGGAAATGGATAAAAGTTCTGAATTTTCCTTTGTGATGTGCACGGTACCAGGACTTCTGTGCATTTGTAGAGCAAGGTTTTATTACCCTATTATATAGGTGAGGAAACTGAGGCCCGGTGACTTCAGTAATTTACCTCAAATCCAACTGCTTGTGAAGGACAGAGGCAAGACCTCGATGGATGCCATCTTCAGCCTCTGCTCTTCTGGTTGTTTGACCTGCCCCGGCCCCTGAGACCCATGTGATGCTGTGTCCACACCAGCTTTTTCCCTCTCAAGGGGGGTGGGTTGTGCTCCCTGGAAAGTCCACATCAGAGCTCCAACACCTAGGCCCACCTGTGGCACCATCATGGCACCAAGGGTGTGATTTAGCCATCCAGATGACGGTGGCCCCTGGTTACTTCGAAGGGTTTCTTGTTTCCTTAACTACGCTGTCTGGACAGTCTGAAATACTCGATTCAACCTCTAACGAGACATGGCCGTTCATCATTCTGGGTAAATCGTTAGTAATGACAGAATACATGCTGATGCAATTGAGTCACTCAAAACATACTGTGGAGACATTAAAAGCATCGCACACTGATTATGATTCTCAAGTCCAGTTTAATCTGAAATTATGTTTACATTTGGGTATTTGAGTGGGTGTTATGGCTGGAAGTTTGCTCTTTGTTTATTCAGCAAACATCAGTGGAGAACCTGTTATGGGCTAGTGAGCATACCGGCCTGGGGCTGGGCATGGACAAGAAGGGTCTCCGTCCTTTAGAAACTTAAAAGCTAGTGAGTGGGAAAGAAAACAGTATATTTACTGTTTCAACCTATGGGGTGACCGAAATTTTGAATAAAATACTATGGCTCACGGAAGCAAAGAACACATCTGGTATGGTGTAACTTGGGTAGTAATTACATTTCTTGGTTGCCAAATACCAACCTTATCTTGAAAATGTGGTCTTTTCATCCTTCCCTGACTTTATTGTTACCATCAAATGTGGTCACTGTGGGGTACTTTCACGTGAATGTGCTGACATCACAGTACGATGTATGGGCACTGTACTACTTGGAAAGACAACTCGCAACATAGTCACGCTGAGATTGGGTGGGCATCAGGATTACCTTATTGTGTTAGAATACACCCAAATACCAAAGCCTAACTCCCAAGCTACTAAATTAAAATATATATATATATATATATATACATATATACCAGAATGGACTTTGGGGAGCCACACCAAGAGGTGTGTTTCTCAGATATTCTGACGCACAGCAGAGTTTGAAAATCAATTATAGAAAGAATCATGGAAAATATCTTAGATGAAAAAGTTTAAGACCCCCATGTCCCCAGATCTGGGTTGTTGTGGCTTTCATGTCCTTAGAAATGTGGGCAGAGTGGTAGCACATTTACCTGGGGCACTTACTGGACCACAATGCACGTGTCGTCTACACAGGTCAAGGGCCCGCCAGGGGAGTGTACTTTGGTTATTCATTTTCCTAACTTTCTCCCCAAGGCAGACACCCATATGTGATTACAGTCTGAATCCTTTTCATAGCCATGACACATTTCCTCTGCTATATGGTTACCCCGGCCTTGATTGATTGCTTTAATAGAACTTCAGAGGATGGGTGGAGGCTGAAATGACTCCCATCTGTATCACCCTTGGTACTGAGCAGGAATTTTGCAGAAATTCAACAATGTTTGCACGCCAGATTTCCTTGGATACGCCCTTCGATGGTGCTCGTGTTACGCTCTTACCCGGGTCCCGCCTGGGCTCTGATGCCGGAGCATCAGGTTGCAGTCCTGAGTCCGAGACGGTGGACATGGCTCTCTCCAGTCCTCAGTCTTGCTGTCACGATATTCTACCTGCCTTATAGGCTTTTGGGGAGGCTTAAGTTAAAAAATACAGATAAGGTGTTTAATATCCTGTTTGAACACTAGTGAGCGCTTCCAAGTGTGAGTTATTTTTATTGATACTATTGAATCTCTATGAGTAAGCCAGTAAAGTGGGGGAGATGTGTTTTCAGCCTCAGCCGCAAATACAGATTCCCTGGCCCATGGTTGGAGCCCCTGTCCCCAGTGATGGGAGTCTTCTGTCCCTGCTGCCCTGCCTCCTCTCATCATGGGATTCTTGGTGGCATTCTTGGAATGTTCCCAGACCCAGTGACAATCTTGCCCTTCTTTGCTTTGCCCCCTTGCCTTCCCCTTTGCTCTGTACCCCACTCATGTGGAACCCCATTATCTAAGAATCCATCCAGTGATTTGGCAGCTACCAGACATTAATGGCCAACAATGGCTCCACCCTCTAAGAATATGTTTGCTCTCATGGGAAGTCTTCAGGGTCATATAGAACTCCCAAATCGCCCAGGCCTTCTTCCTGAGCCATTAGTTGTGCTCTTTCTAGGGTAGATGAAGATGGCAGTGTGAGAAACTCCTGAGCCAAAGCTCTAGGCAGTTAAGAAGAAGCTGACTTGGTGGAGAGACGTAGCAACTCGGTTCATGGCATTCTTATCGGTGTAGGGCTAGAGTTTTCTCAGGTGACAGTGAAGGGGTGCCAATTGGCACCTCTGTAAAGGACCCTATTAAGTACCCCAAGAGCCAATGAGGCTTGAGATGGTCCCCTCTACTCAGCTAGGGCCGGCACCTCAGAGTGGTCTGGTTTTGAAGCAGAAGGAACAGGTGTACCTTCAAACAATTCCTGCAGATAAAGGCCGCAAGATTGCCCACTGGGCTTCATGGAGCTACGTCCTCCAAAGGGACATAGGGAATGAGGTCAAGCACTGTCCAGCCGTGACAGCCCCCAGCAGTGCAGACCTGGCAGGAGGTGGGGCAGCCCTTGGTGGGAGTGGGGACAAAGGGTCAGCCCCACAGGGAGCTCTAGCAGGTGGTCGGTTCTCCAATTGTGGGAGGCATCAGACGCACCCGGGGAGACCACGTTTGTGTTTCTGACAAACACGTGGAAATTCTGAAAATCCCTGGTGAGCAGAAGAGTGTAGAGAGATGAGAGCAGGAGGGAACGCTGTCAGCTTTATCAAGGTCAGGGGACCTGCCCTCCACATCCCATGTAGAATGCTTTTTTATAATTAAAACATGGGCCCTTAGCAGACATCCGACGCGTGCTTCATTTTGCATTGGTGTGCCCTTTCAAACAACTGACCGAAGGTTAGTTCTTCAGGAAAGGTCTGTGAATGCGTGGCTATGTTCTACGACCTGGCTGTTCAGACATTTTCTTTCTGCCTGATGGGCAGGCAGGCGTGGAGGAGTCCACCGTGTTGAACGTGCATTTGATGGAGTCTGTTAGGTCATTGACCCTTTTCTTGGTTTTGAAAGAATCGTTTCTCTCTCTCACAGCTTTGGCATGGTCCATGATGGAGAAGGGAACGTGTGCAAAAAGTCTGAGGGCAACATCATGTCCCCCACGTTGGCAGGACGCAACGGGGTCTTCTCCTGGTCACCCTGCAGCCGCCAGTACCTGCACAAATTTTTAAGGTATGAACTCCCGGAGCTCGGTGTGTGTCTCTTAGTGCCTGATTCTGTCCAAGCAGCCCCGGCTTGGCTGTGACTTCCCAAGATGGCTCCCCTTCGAAGGTGTCTTGAGATGTTCCCTCGGCCAAGAAGTTTGTCAGATACTTCCTTAGAGCTCAAAGACTTGCAGGCTGAATCCAACATCATTTGACCTTTAGACTCAAATGAAACCCAAGATACTTACCAAATCAAACTATTTGTCACTAACATTTAGTTGTTTTAAATTCTCATTTCTGTGACTAAATGTTTTTTATTCGTGAGTAGAAGACCTACCGTGCACACAGTGGGAACGCAATGTAACTTTTGGGGGTCTCTTCTCGTCTCTCTTCTCTTCTCTTTTCTTTTCTTTTCCACAAAGTACATTTCTTATTAGAAGAGGAAACCTTAGCCTGGCTCTAAAATCTTGCAATTTTAATAATTATTTTTGTAAATGGTTATTATAGCACTAATTCATTTAGGATATAGGACATGGGGGAGATAGGGTTTGACCCCCTGAGCAAGTCAGTAGATTTTCAACTCTTTAGAGAAAGAAGGGACTTTAAGAAGTGGCCTTAGATCTGCTAGTAAGGCAGACTGTCCCCCAAGTCTCAAGGACGTTGAGTTTGGAGTTTGGTTTCAGCTGCAGACCCTAGCCTTCTTTCTGACGTGTGTCACACTGTTGCCCGGGTCAGCGGACCTGCTGCGTGCGGTCACACAGAGCCCGGGGCCTTCCATCCTGTGGCCGCTTCCTCTTGTGGGGGCTGGCTGGGCACCGCAGCCCGCGGCTCCCAGGGAAGGAGAAGGCTGTGGAGGGCATGCAGGACGGGGCTGTGTTCCTGGCAGGGAGCATGCAGCTGAGGGCCCACCCTGCAAGGGCTGGGTCATGAACGTCGGGGCTGGGACTGCGGGGGCACGCCCACCTGAGCTCCCCGCATTCCTCCTCTTCCCTTCTGAGCCGGCTCTCCTGGGCCCCAGGGGTGGCATCTGCAGCACACCGTGCTCTGAGGTTCTTGTGCCTCCTGGAGGACACACCCCTTTCCACCCTTGTCCTTTCGGGAACATTCTTGTCTCCCTGGCCCTGGGAAGAACTGCTTTCGCTCAGCAGGGAGGAGGACGTGCGTATCCGTGACACAGAAACGTATCTTGCCAGACACCTAGAAGGCTTGTGCTCACTCTCTGACAAACATGCCAATGCTCAATAATCCACTGATTCTTTCAAGGAGACACAAAGCATGTGCTTCCTTCTTTCCAAAATGTGTCAGTGCTGGCGGCAAAGGGCCTTCCTGGCGAGTTCTCCATTAAATGCACGCACATTTCTGAGACTCATCAAGGAAGGTATGAGAGTTAGTGCTCTTATGTCAGTGATATATTCTTGGACAAAGCTAACAAGCCAAACCACCTTACTTTAAGAATTTGGAGCAGATTATGACAAGAAAACATACAAAAAATAATTAGGGGTGCCTGGGTGGCTCATTTGGTTAAGCGTGTGACTCTTGATTTCGGCTCAGCTCATGATCTCAGGGTCCTGAGATTGAGCCCCCCCCACCCCCCCACCCCCGCTGGGCTCTGCGCTGGGCATGGAACCTGCTTGTGCTTCTCTCTCTCCCTCTGCCCTGCCCCTCTGCAAAGGCACGCTCTCCCTCTCAAAAAAAATAGAATTGACAGATGAATACGAAAAGCAAATGAAAGTAAAAAATGGAGAACAAGGAATAAACACACAAATATATCAGTCTTAAAATATAGGCTTTGCCTGTGATATTGAAGCTGGAAATTGGGCAAAGGTCTTTCTAGGAACCAAAGCAAGAAAGGAGATCAAATCTATTCATATGAACAGAAAATAGGGCAAATACCGGTATTTCAAGGAAAGCGAGGCTTTTGCCAGCACAGAATTCTTGGAAACAAATGAAACTGTGCCTATGTATATCTAAACTGAACTATAGATTCATCCAAGTGCATGTGTTGATAGATGTGTTTCTATATATTTTATTCATATCCTTTACATTTACAGAATACCCTGCTATACATCTGCTATATAAAATATGTTACGTACCTGTAACAAATTATGTCACATAGTGAGTGCTTATAAGTACTGGTAGACACACGAAGTAAAAACACTGGTAGGACGTACCTCAGTGGATATGTGTGTGTGAGCTAACCCATGGCACCTGATGACTCCCCGCTTCTACCCTCCTCTGGACCCCACGCTAGAGTGAGTCCATCCCGGGCCAGTCCCAGACACCAGGAGCACATGCTTGTCCCTCTCCTGTTTCTGCCACGACACGATGCCAGCAACTGAACAGGGAACGTGGAGGGAGGCGTAGCGGCAGGGTGCGTGACCCACGCTGGCCCCACCAGAGCTGGGAAGGAAAAAAGATTGGCGTACGCATGGACTACCAGCTTAGCAGCCAGATATCCGCCTTCCAAGTCTCTGTAACAGATGCACGTGCCTATAGTCAGAACCCAGAACTCATTATTCGAAGCTAGGAGTCGAGGGCAAAAGTCCCCGCTCCTGTTGTACCCAGTAAGACACCTTTCAGGCTTCCACTGGCCTCACTGACTCGCCCCACGGAGCTTCTTATCTTGGGCTCTAGGTTTTCTTCATTTTTTTGTCTTTCTTTCCTTTTCTCTTTCTTTCTTATTTTGCCAGTAAAGCCTTTTCTTCCTTTTTTTCTGTTGCACAAATTACAGCATCTTGTCTTTAGCACACCTCGGGGCAGGGTCACGTTGGCGTTTCTGTTGGTTATACTCCCTGTCTGCTCACCGTCTGAGGCTTCTCCCCGTGCCCTCGCGGAGCCCTGAGCCCCTGGCTGGGTTCCCCTTCTCGCTGCCCTTCCCCTCAGTCCTCCTCTGAGCTTGTAGCAAGTCTTCTGAGCCAGCATCCCGACCACTCACCTTCAGCCTGGGTTCTTTCCTCATGTTCTTACCATGAGACTTCATAGCAGTCAAGGTATTTTACCGCCTAAAGGAATGAAGGCTGCCTTCCATAGTTCATGCCACCCAAGAAGAGTGAAAATTTCGTGGACAGTATCTGTCACCTGGCAATACAAATCTGTATTCTAGTAACATACACTTGATCATTTTTCTTTTATTTCTAATATAAAAAAGGCAGTGTCAACATTATTCTACTGGTGACATGACACATCGAGGTCCTTTCAACGTTTGCTCTTCCCTGTGCGGGCTCCTTGTGGGGTCAAGTTGGGGATTGTTAGCACTGTTTGTAGCTGTTTCTTGGAGCTGTTCAATTTTGTTTGGTGTGTGTGTGTGTTTATCGTGCATGAAGAATTCTGCTTTCTGTAATAAAAAAGAGCACAAACCTAAGTTTACATTGAAGTTTTCTATATCAGTCCTTTCTATAATTTTCTAGATTAATTTTCAAAAAAATGTTTCAAAGATTTTATTTATTTATTTGACTGAGAGAGAGAATGCATGCGTGCGAGCGAAAGCACACAAGCAGGGGGAGCGGCAGAGGGAGAGGCAGAAGCAGACTCCTTGCTGAGCAGGGAGCCCAGTGCAGGGCTCGATCCCAGGACCCTGAGATCATGACCTGAGCCGAAGGCAGACACTTAACCAGCTGAGCCATCCAGGTTCCCCTCAAAATTTTTATAGCTTTTTCATCTTCATGGTTTTGATCAAGATAAACATTTTTAATTTTTTTGAAATGTGCCCAGACGACGTGGAGAGCAGGGGCTGCAACGTGTGGGTGTACGGTGAGAATCAGCGTCATACGAGAGTCCAGATCACTGCTAAGCTGCCAAGAACTGTAGGAGAACTCGTGGAAGGAAATAGTTATATGCTTAGAGAGCACTTGTTTTGATGACATTAGATATGGGCTGTGATCTTCGAATCAGACCGTGGCCCTAGGAGGGGTTGCCAAGAGTGTGGTTCAGAGACATGTTTGCTCTGGGATCCCGGGACGGTTCAATGTCTGCTCAAGTTTGCTCATTTGTTTTTGTGTCAGTCAGTAAAACCCTTGTGTGGCCATTCAGTCATAAACTTTTATTTTCAAGAACTTTGCTAATTTTGCTGGGCCACATGATTATAAACAGAAACACAACATTATGCACGCTCACAAATTTGTTCTCTTAAAAGATTAAATTTCCCAAGAGAGCCTCCTGCTGTCAAAGTCACTCAAGCTTTTGTTCCCATGGGATGACCAGTGGTGAATGGGCCATTTCTATACTGTGTTAGCAGAGAAGTCTCATTGGTTTAATCAATTGGAGACTGTCTTCTTTGACGTGTTTGCCGACTTCCTGATTTCCAGGTAATCACAATCCTGTTATGTTCTCCACCAATTAGGTGGCTGTTTGGATACGATCCCAACAATGAGTAAGGATAAGTAACTTTTAAAGATGAATCTGCTTTCTTTTATTAGCAGTCTCGCATTTGGTACCTGGAAAAAATATATTTGAAAAAAGGAACTCAGGGGCGCCTAGGTGGCTCAGTCATTGAGCGTCTGCCTTCGGCTCAGGTCATGATCCCAGGGTCCTGGGATCGAGCCCCGCATCGGGCTCCCTGCCCTGTGGGAAGCCTGCTTCTCCCTCTCCCACTCCCCCTGCTTATGTTCCCTCTCTTGCTGTGTCTCTGTCAAATAAATAAAATCTATAAAAAAAAAAAAAAAAAAGGAACTCAGTCAGTCTGAAGTTGTCAGCACAATGTTTCTCCATAGTTGGTAGTCAAGAAGGACAGATACGTGTTTGGAGTAAATTCATCAACCTACTCAGTGAAGTCATGTGTCATTTCCCAGGACCAGACACAGACCTCATCCCATTTACTCATGTCTGTGTCCAGGAGGCTTAGGACTAAGGAAATTTTAACTCATTATTTTAATTTAATGACAACAGGGACTCGTCTTCAATTTACTTTTTAAAAATTTGAATCATGGTATTCACAGACCAGTGAATGTGCCTTCCCTCTGACCCCATGGATCTATGTCAGTCCATGGGAAAAGGGACCATCTCTGGGAGCCAGGAGTTTGAGGAGTGCGTGGATCCCCTGCCACACCCATACCTCCCTCTGTCAATGAGAAAATCTGATTTGACCTGAGAGCCCATTAAGAATGTTTTGGGGTATAATGGAAAGAACAAATTTCAGTTCATTCATACACACATATACATAATGAATATTTTTCAGCCATGAGAAAGAAGGAAACCCTGCCATTTTTGGCGGTACGGATGGACCTGGAGGGCATTATGCTAAGAGAGATAAGTCAGAGAAAGACAAACTGTATGATCCCACTTATATGTGGAATCTAAAAATTTAAGCTCGTAGCAACAAAGAGTTACCGGGGTGGGGTTGGGAGCGCTGGTCAAGGTGGTCACACATACAAACTTGTAGTTCTAAAATAAGTAGGTTCTGGGGGCTCTCATGTACAGCATGGTGACTATGAACAATGCTGTATTCTGTGTTTGAAAGTTGCTAAGAGAGTAGATCTCAGAAGTTCTCGTGGAGCACCTTGGAGACTCAGTCCGTTAAGCATCCGACTCTTGATCTCGTCTCAGGTCTCGACATCAGGGCTGTGAGTTCAAGCCTCATGGTAGACTCCGCACCCAGTGTGGAGCCTACTTAAAAAAAAAAAAGTTCTCATGATACAACATTCACAAATCTAAGGATGTGAGATAATGAATGTGTTAACTAACCTTTATAAAAAGCTACAGAGCACAGTGAACAGCCCAGAACCCCGTACTCACTCTCATCATCATCTCCTTCCTCGCCAGAGATGACCTTGTTCCTGATACAGGCCACCATAGACTAGTTTTGCCTGTTTCTGAACTTGCTATGAACAGAGTCATGAGCTACATACTACTCTGTATCTGGGATCTTTGGCTAAATATAACAAGTATGAGATTCATCCTTGTTGCTACATAAAAATATAGCATCATTTATTTATTTTTAATTGCATGAATATGCTACAGCTTACGAATCCATTCTGTTGGTGAGAGGCATTTGAGATTCCAATTTGGGGCTATTTAAGAAATGATACTCTGCATATTCTTTTGTTTTACATATATGTCTCTGATTATTTGTAGGACTGGAAGTCTAGGGTCATGAATACACAGTCTGCAGTGTCAGGAGACACCCCGACAGCTTCCTGAGTGGTTGTGCAAAGTCACATGCCCACAGTTATGAGCATTCACAGGGTGCTGAACCCTTGCCAACACTTGGTCTTGTCGGTCTTTTCCACTTTAGCCATTTCGCTGGGTGTCTAGTGACATACCGAAGTGGCCATTAAAGAGAACGAGTGTGTTTTTACATGTTTAATGGTCATTTGAATAATCTTGAGTGAAGTGCCTGTTCAGATCTCTCGTGAACTTTTAAAAATTAGGCTTTTTTTATTTTTTCTTGTCTCTTGATCAGAGTACCTTATATATTCGGAATACTTTGTTCATTATGTAAAATACATATTATGTGAGTATCTTCTGTCACTCTATGACTTGGTATCTCCACTGTTAATGGTGTCGTTTGGTTAACAGAAGTTTTCCTTTTTGTAACAGGGTCTAAATTAATCCATACTTTTCCTTTGGAGTTAGTACTTTTTGTGGGCTGCTAGAATAAATAAATCTCTACTTACCCCAGAGTCACAAATATATTCTTCCACACGATCTCCTACAAGCTTTATTGTTTTGCTTATCACATGTAGGCAACCTGACTTTCGTCTGGGGCATGCCACAGGGTCAAAACACGATTTGTCCACGTGGATACTATGGTGGATTGTTTGTGCAGTGGCTTTTCCTTTCAACATCCATGCCATGGGGTTTTCTCACACCTGCCCCATTGGCTTTGCGCTTGGCCATGACACCTGCTGAGGCCGAGGGAGAAAGAGCAGATGGGCTCCAGCAGGAGCCTAATCAGGAGCACAAGGGTGAGATCCACATGGGGAGTTGCTTTTCTTCAAAGGTGAAGCTAATCGGAGCCGACCTGCACATCCCAGCAGTGATATGTGTGTTCCTGCACCTCCTGGCAGGCTCCCAGCTTCTTCCAGGCTCCCAGTCTGTGCACTGCATTTTTCATGGCCAGGTGGGTACCTTGTCCTCATGCCCTGTGCTTAGACATTTACGCAATCTATAAAAATTCCTGAACCCGTGATACTGTTTTAATTGTTAGTCCCGTGCTGGGGCCAGTCAGTTTGGCTGACTTTTCCTGGTTTCCTGTCCAGAGGACGGGGATCATATTGCCACCCTGACGTAGCCTCAGGGACATAATGGGGAACACCGAACTCGTATGTATAAATCATTTAAGATCCATCAGAGAAAGGTTCTATGGAATTCCAAAATTGCCAAGTCACACCTGTCTTGAAGTGCTAATTATGCTTTTAATTGTTTTTCTTTACTTAAAAATATCCCTTTGCAGTATGATCCTAGTGACCGTGATAGACAGGTCATTTGTTGAATGCTCACAGTGAGTCGGCCACTGCTCTTAACACTGTCCCATCATTTGGTTTAATCTATACTTCCCAGTGTGCTCTGAAAGGGCTTCTGATTTCCTCTTATGTAGGACTGATGTCTCCTCCACAGTAGCTGGGGCCACCCTCGTGTTTCGTGGGTGACTGTGAATTGAAGGCATGCAGGAGTGGACTTGAAGGCAGTGGAATTTGAGACTGGGGTGGAGACTGAGGCCAGAAAGTTCCCAGTCGAGGTGGGCAGCCACGCAAAGAAAAGTGTAGGGATCCACGGGCAGGTCTGCCATCGTTCAATATATTGGGAACATAGAAGGGATTTTTTTTTTGGCTTATTAAAATTGGCAAGCAAGATTTAGTTGCTACATGCCAACGCTGTTCGCCCTCCCTCCGAATGCAAAAATTATAACTATGCCTGTCCCTGCTAGGGAAGGGAATACCATGTTCGTGGAGGAAGGAATCATTAGTTGGTCTTTAGCCATCTGCTAGTGAACTTAAGCAGAGTTAATTTCTTTCTTGACTTTGGGATCTAGTCAGAAATTAGCTTGAGCGTAGAGCATTGCTGGTAGAAATTGTTGCTGTGTTCCATGGGGAACCTCTGGAGGTTGTGAGCTTGTGTGCAGGTGGCCCCTGGCCCAGGGAAGGAAAGGAGGGAGGGGGGAAGAGGAGAGTGGATGTGGGGAGGAAGGGAGGTAAGGACGGAGTGGGGGGAAAGAAAGAAAGAAAATTCTTGTCTTTGAAATAGGTGGATTTTGCTAGCCTTCCACAATGCCCAGTTCCATCTTTTGATCACTCATGGCCAGAAGTGTACATAAAAGTGTCTGCAGTTGGCACTTCTCACACTGAACATCTTGTGCTATTCCGTCTCACTTTTCCCCATGATAAGATTGAGGAATCTAATGAAGAACAAATTGTCTTCCTGGAAAAGATGAAATGCAGTAGGAGCAGTTTCAAGATATGTGGCCCCTGTATTTAAATAGAATGGAGATAAATGTCACATGGGCCCGCAGGAGAGGAGAATGCCCCCCCCCCCCCCCACCTCGCTGCACAGGGAATGTTGTCAGATTGCAGGAGAAGAGCCCGGCCTCGCGGAAGGTGCATCTCCGGTAAGTGTTGCAGAATCGCTAGCCCCCCATGCCCTGTGCGTTTCAGCACCGCCCAAGCGCTGTGCCTCGCGGATCAGCCGAAGCCTGTGAAGGAGTACAAGTACCCCGAGAAGTTGCCGGGAGAGTTATATGATGCCAACACTCAGTGCAAGTGGCAGTTTGGAGAGAAAGCCAAGCTCTGCATGCTGGATTTTAAAAAGGCAAGTGATTATTGGCAAATGCTCAGTGCAATATGATTCATAAAACTGTTTTATTCCGTGTAACGGACATTGATGTATTCTGCATTTATTGGGTACCTACCAAATGTCAAATCCTGTGAGTTAGAGCTGGTCTTAGATAACAGGAAACATATGTTCTCCTGGCAAAGAAGAAGCTGGTGGATCCTGGTGTGGGTATCGCTTTTCATCGGAGAACTGAGTTGGCCTGTTAGGTCAGCTCTTGTTTCTGATTTATCACGTGGGAGCTCAGCAATAACCTCTGGTTGGTGTGAGTTGGCAAATTAATGCTCTGCATTTTTTTCAAATGCTCTTAAGAAAATAGTTCCTCCCTGCTTTACCTTCCTCAGATATAAGCAGAATTTACCATGGAGCAACAACCTGTCTAGAGCTTCTGATTATTAAATTCCCCAAGGACAACCTTTCTAGAGAAGTTTCTCGTAGAAGGTGTGATGTGCGCCGCTGAGCCCGGGGACATGACTGGCGTGGCTTCCTGTCATAAATTCTGCGTGTGACATGGAGACGTGCGCCCATGTTGGACGGGCAGGTCGGGATCTGGGAACTTGCTGTACTGAACCACAAGGAAAGCTACCCATAAATTAAATGAAAGTACCTATTCCTGAGATTTCTTTTATTCTAGTTTATAACGAAATCAAGAGGAAAATAGACAAAAATATGATCCTCTAGAAAGCTCCAACATTTCATAATGTACTGGGAATATTCCCAATTTAAATCTAACGTGATAATCTCTTTTCTTCTAAACTCAAGGAGATTTCCCCGTAAGGTCAGTTACAACCGTGTTCCAGGACTGGATCCTCATCTCCCGAGCTGGGTAATGTCAGCTCGGGACAAGAGCAATGAATCAGTTACCATCAGCCTGTGTCCCTAATGTTGTCTTTTCCACGTGAAATCCCTAGGAAGTTTTTGAGTGTGTTACTCTTATGTCTGTTAAGGACAGGAGCATAGGCCTAATTCTTTTTTTTTTCAAAGATGGGATTTTCTATAGCAAAGCTCAGGTTTCCACATTCTTTTGTTCTGTGTGACCATGGACTGTATCATCCATGGTACTCTGGCGCCATTTGGAAAATACAAGAAGTAAGAAGCTAAATCTTTTATTACTCATCTTTTATTACTGAGGGAATATTTATATGCAGTGAAATGGATTCGTTTTAGGTGTACTGTTGGAATTTTAACAACTGTGTTTACCCGTGTTACCAGCATGCTGATCAAAACATGGCTTACTTCCATAAAGCCAAAAAGTTCCCTTATGCCCTCTTCCATTCAGCCCCTTCCCCACCCAGGTAAGCAAACTCTGTTCTGATTACTATCACCATAGATACAGTTTGCTTATTCTGGAACTTTGTAAATGCCAAGTAAAGTATTTGCAATGACAGGGGGAACTAGAGAGGATAATGCTAAGTGAAGTAAGTCAGTCAGAGAAAGACAAATACCCTATGATTTCACTCATATGTGGAATATAAGAAACAAAACAAATAAAGGAAAAAAGAGACAAAGCAAGAAACAGACTCTTAACTATGGAGAACAAACAGGGTTACCAGAGGGGACGTGGGTGGGGGGATCAGGGAAACGGGATGGGGATTACGGGCACACTTGTTGTGATGAGCACTGAGTCACATGGAGACTTGTCGAGCACTTGTACATCTGAAACTAATAGAACACTGTATCTTAAGTATACTGCAATTAAAACTTAATTAAAAAAAACAAATATGATGTTAGTTGTTGGTTTTACATAGTCACCCTTTATCAAACTGATAAGTTCCTTTCTGGTCCTAAGTTGTTGAGAGATTTTATCACAAAAGTGTGTTGACTTTTGTGAAATGCTTTTTCTCCTTCTGGGGATGTACTTATACTGTTTTTCTTCTCTATGATGTGAATGCGGAGAATTGTGTTGATAGGTTTTAAATTTAGTTTCCCATTGGTCACACTTCTTTTTTATTTCTTTATTTCCTTTTGCATTAAACTTCTTTCTAACAATCCTGTTTTTTTGCCTCAATTTACATTTTAGCTATACTTCCGTATACTGATTTTTAGTGGTTGTTCCAGAGATTATAGCTACATCTCTAATTTACAGTCGATTTTGATTTAACATTGTGCCGCTCTATGCAAAATGCAAGATCCTTAAAACAAGTAAGCCCATGTGACTCCCTCGCTGTACTGTCCTCATCATGTATTTTACTTCTGTGCATGTTATAAGCAACATGACACGATGTTAAAATGTTTGCTTTAACATAGGGAGTTGCTTTTAAATAAAATAATGTTACCTTTTATATTCACCCACAAATGCACCATGTAGTACTTACACTTTCTTATGGATCAACTCCAAATTGTATCATTTGCTCTGGTCTGAAGATCTTTCTTTAGCGTTCTCTATAGCCTGCATCTGCTGGGCATAGGGTAGGTCAGGTTTTCTTTATCTGAAAATGTCATTAAATTCAACCTCTGTTTTGAAGAATCGTTTTCCTGAATATAGAGTTCTAAACAGTTTTTTCTTTATTTTTTTTCCTATACACATTTTGAAGTTTTAATTCCATTTTCTCCTGGACTCGGTTGTTTCTGATAAAAAGCCGATCATCATCTTTATCTCCTGGCATACCTAATCATTCATTTAGACAATTCAGCAAACTCTACATTTAGGTTAGTTTAAGTTTTGTTTCCAGAAATACAATCTGATTCTTTATACTCTCTATTCTCTACTGAAATTTCCCATCTTTTCTCACTCATTCTGTCCACTTTTTCCTTTATAGCCTTGAGTATATTTGTAACATGTTATAATAGAGTATCACTTTATGTTATATAAATTTGTATTGTATTATTATAATAGGTGGATCCCTTCATCCTTTGAGGCTTTGTTTGGTTCTTCCTTAGGGCTCTTCTCTTTCAGTTTTTCCTTAGCCAGAGGCACAACCTGGGCTCTTGGCTGGGAGCGTGGACTTTGGGCTCTCCACTGAGGTCTCTCCCTCACGTGTGGGCCCAAACTCCGGTGTCTCCCAGCATGGTGTGGCCTCTGTCGTCCAGCCGGTCAGCGTGCAGCCCACAGCTACTGCCCTGATCTAGGCCACATGAGGTGTCCACTAGTTCATCAACCATTCACCCCACAGATAAGCAAGGGCCCGCAGGAAATCCTCAGGCAGGCATCTGGGGCCCCTTACTTAATGTGACTTTTTACTTTCTGGTCCCACAGAGTCCCACAGGTTCTAGCTACTTCTGTAGGCCCCAACTCTGATCTCTGCATCCCCCACGCAGGGAGATTGTCATTGTCTGCCTGGGACCCACCTGGCTGCACCGTGTCAGGCAAGTGTTCCAGGCAGATTGATGGAGCAAAGGTGACACTCACCTTACGGATTTCCTTCTCTCCAGGGACACATACTGTGCTTCCAGTTGCAAAGTCTAAAACAACTGGCCCATATATTTTGTCCAGTTTCATATAGTTTTTGTATGCAGAAAAGTAAGCCTGCTACCAGTTCCTTTATCAAGGACAGTAGAGGAAATATCTCTTCAGTTAAAAAAAAAAATTACATCCTTTACAATCAATTATGTCACCTCATTCCCTATGATGTGAAATTGTTCTTCAACATAAATAAACTTGATGGATTTTCTAAGTTAATACCATTTGTGTGGCCAGAATCTCTAGGGTCCTGAATCTCAAATTTAGATACGGTGGGCAGTTAGGTTATTTTCCATGTGAATTAAAGCATCTCAGAACATTTTCAGTTCTAAAATTCTATTTTTTCAATGAACTCCTTCTGAAGTTTTATGAAAATAGGTCTGTTTTGTTAGGTTGAAGTATAAAGATCCAAAAGTTTGCTGATGGGAGAATTTAAATTAGTAACAAGCAGGGCACCCTGTGATTCAGTCAATTAAAGCATCTGCCTTCAGCCCAGGTCACGATCTCAGGGTCCTGGGATCGAGTCCCACATCAGGCTCCCTGCTCAGCGGGGAGTCTGCTTCTCCCTCTGTCCCTCCCCATAGCTCATGCTCTCTATCTCTCTCTCTCTCAAATAAATAACATCTTCGAAAAACAAATAAATAAATAACAAGCGAATTACCTAAACCAGCAATTAGCACCTAAGGACTCCTCAGTGAACATTTGCTGAGCAGGTGATAGATGGGTGAATGCTATTTTGGAAAGGGACTCTTGGTTTTGAAAAGTTAATAGATAATGCAAATTCATATGCGTCTGTCTCTTGGACAAATAGATGTGTATTTGGTGTACGTGTGTTTACATACTTATGTATAAATTTACGCAGCTATATGGCCACAGCTTCCTCTGTCCTCCGATGCCTTGTAGAGTGATCATTGGAACTAGTGATAAAGTACCCCATACTTGAAAGACAAATAATTGCGATAAATTAGAGATCCCATTATAACATAATTTGTGATGGCATTTTCAGTTGGTATTTTTGGTGAGTCTAATATCGACAGTATGAGAAAATGGATCCAGGGACAGTGCACTCACAGTGGGGAAATCTCCCAATAAATTCCCAACACAGACATTGGAAAATGTTGGTTTTATTTGGGGTGTTAGGTTGTGGTGCTTAACTCAACCAAGTCAGTATGGCTGAAATTGGTCTTCGTGAGTATAGCTCTTAAATTATAACATAGACTCACAAGTGAGCACCTTCATTAAAGATTGGATTCCTTCGCTGCAAAGATGAAAAAAAGCATGGGCTGTCCATGTGGACTTAGCTTTTTTCTTCCAAAGTATTAGTTATTACAAACATTGCATCTTCATCTAGTGCCTGTTCTGCTTCATCAGCATCATCCAGGGCTTGGCAGCCTGACCCTGCAGTCTGAGATGCGTGGCTCCCAGAATTACTTTGAAATTTGATCACCTTAGTGTCCTGGGCACTGTTGTGAAATTGGGAGCTTCCCCCCACACCAGCATGTCTTACATTCCAGCTCCTTGGCCCTAGACGTATGATTTAATAGGGTCTTTGTTCCAAGGGGACCCTGAAATTTAATTAAGAATATAATGACATACAACAATAATGCTTAACTTAATACAATCATTGCACATTATTGTCTAGAATTAGTAGTTCAAAGTATGATAAGAAAGGATAAAACTGGTTTTTGGTTGTTCGGTCGTTTCATGGTCATTTTATTATCTAATTCTTTGAGGAACTAGATTTTTTATTTGTTTTCCAGGGTAGAGTGTCACGTTTTTGTGAAATGTCAGTTATATCTGTAGAGTACCAAGGTCTCAAGTACTTTTCGCTATGTTGAATAACAGTAGCATGGATTGTATGGCATTTCAAGGCTGTTCTAACTCTTGTCATTTGTTTCTGTCTGGAGAATTGCACTGAGGACTGAGCAGATCCCAGGATGGGCTGAAATACATGGGGGGCACAAGCCAGACGCAGACTGGGTTAGTGGGTCACCTGCTTGGGGGCAAGCTACCACCTGCCTCCTATACTTCAGAGCTTTGTCCTTAGTGAAGGTAAAAACCATCACCTTTAACAGTATCTTCCATTCGTATTTCTTTATTCTGCAAAATGTTCCAGAAAACTACAATGTAAGAATATTATGAAAATACTTTAGGGGCACCCGGGCTCAGAGTTCAGTGGGGAGTCTGCTTGGGATTCTCTCTCCCTCTCCCTCTTCCCCTCCTGCTCATGCTCTCTCTCTCTCTCTGAAATAAATAAATTTTTAAAAAGAAAAAAAAGAAAATACTTGAAATATTAAGGTCTAGGGCGCCTGGGTGGCTCAGTTGGTTGAGCGACTGCCTTCGGCTCAGGTCATGATCCTGGAGTCCCAGGATCGAGTCCCACATCGGGCTCCCTGCTCGGCAGGGAGTCTGCTTCTCCCTCTGGCCCTCCCCCCCTCTCATGTGCTCTCTCTCTCTCTCTCTCAAATAAATAAATAAAATCTTTAAAAAAAAAATTAAAAAAAAGAAATATTAAGGTCTAGATCTATATTTTCACACATAAGGTGGCCCGCCTATGTCATCTTAGATGTTCTAATGCTAACATTTGCTTACCATTATTGGTTTTTTACACGAAAAATGTTCCCACTCATTCTGTTCAAGGTTTTCATGAGAACAAACTAATAGGTGTTTGACTCACTCAGAAAACATGTATCGAAAGCCAGCTAGGTACCGAGCACCGTGCCAGAGATCTATGACAAATACAAAAAAATAATTTCACATTTTAAAACACCATTTATTTTGTATCGTCTTGGATAATCTTTGAAACTGTCCCATGAATTGGTACCACCGACTCCCTGAGGCCATAGCCATGAAGCAGCGGAGAGCTGCATTTGGGCTGGAATCACCTCCACGCCCTTGGAGTGGGGAAGGAAGTGCATGCTGGCCCCATGCCTCTCAGGTACTAGGCCTGAGTTGGGCACGTTACCTGCAAACACCTCATTTAGCTCCCAGGCCAAGTCAAATAAGCAGGTGTTGCCATCCTCATGCATACAAGGAGGACACCGGGCTCTGCCCCCAGATCTGCCTTCCAATCCACGCCAGATAGGCCTGCCTCCTCGGAAGCCCAGTCCCTCTACTGGACCACTGTGTCCGTCTCCGGCTGGCCTGACCACGGGCGGCCACCTCTTTCACACCCACCCATTCATCCATTCATCCATCATGCCTTGATTTGTTGATGTGTGCACACTCAGCCTCCTGAATTAGTAGGTCTCCATAGGCCAGCCAGGCAGCTGCTCTCTGTGGGCCACCACCCGAGGGCAGGTAGGCCAACCTGCACTGCTGAACAGATGCTGGTTCTGATCCGCCACAGTTCCACCCAGACACTGAGCCTGGGTCCATGAGCTCCGATTTCAAGGAAGCTTTATTTATATCCTGGTATTCGATCAAGTTGTCACCCTGCAAACAAACGGAGCTTTCCAGTTGTCTCTTTGGAGAGTTACAGACACTCAGGCCCCTGCTTTTATGGATTCCTTGAGGTCTTATGGCTCTGGTCCTTACACGCTGTTCTGGCCAAGAACAGAGGCCCCAGCTCAGCGTGCCAATTCATGTCATGAGAGGCCAGGGGAACACTAACCAGCAGTGTGACACATTGCCCCGGTAACGCTTAGTGAACTTGGAGGGCTCACAGGGAAATAAATTTAACATTACAGCAATTGTAACCATAGGAGGTTATTTTAATACTTGAAAATAAATGCAATTGATACCCAAATTAAAACACTGAAAGTTTACTTCTTACCATTCCAAGTTCCCAAAAGCTGATTTATTAGTGAGAGAGATACAGGCAGAAAATACATGTATGCCCTCAGTTTCTAAATATGTAATAATTAAGCTTAGGGAGGAGATTTGAGAATAGTTTGATGAAAGTAAAATTAATATTGATTATTAGCAATAAAACCCTTCAAAAGATCACTCACACAATGTAGAACAGCTCTGTGTGGGCTCATCTTTCAACACGATGAAACGGGGTGGAAGCATAAAGGGAATGAAATGCCATCTTTGAGGCAAAACTATGCCGACTTTTGGCCGTGTTGCATTTCCTTTATGATAAAGATCACCCAGTAGATACAGCCAGTAAATATCTTGGGAAATAATGCAGCGCCGGTTCAAATATTCAGAACACTTGTGCAGATAATTTAAGAAATGTTTTCCTCCTGTGCAGTCAAAGCTACCACAGGCATTCCTGAAGTTTCCATCATGTTCTGAGTCCTACCGCTTGCCCTTCACTAAGACATTCCTTTGGGCTCATAAGGTTATGAAAGGAAAACTCATTCCTTGCACTTGGAGAGACTTTCATGGTGTAGAACTCTCAAGATCTTGTTTCATTTTACTGCCCTGGCAGCCGTGTGGGTCTTCCCTTGCTCTGCACACACACTTTTTCCTTCACATCTTCCTTCCTTTGCACAAACGCTTTGTTCTTTGTCCCTTGAATGCCATCCCCTGTCCCTCCAGTAAACCACTCAAGCTCGGGAGTTGGCTCAGCTATCTCATGTTCCCATGAGTCCTTCTCTAAGTGTCCCTGCCTTGCCCTTCTGACAAACTCACCCTGCACTGTGCTCTCCCCCCTGGGAGCATCTCTTCCCACATGCCTCATATGGTGACATATAGGAAATTTACCCACCCCCGCCTTAGATGATACTCCAGAGGGTAGGTCTGGGATGTATTCCTCATGGAACCTCATGGAACCTCCCTCCCTCCTAGCAAGGCAACTGGCATATTCCAGGTCTTCATCAAAGGTTGGGGATGGTGGGTGAGTAGGTGGGTGGATAGACAGACATACAGATGGATGGATGGATGAAAGGATGGACAAGCCAGAAAGTTTCATAATCATCTTTAATCTGGAAATGAGCATTCACACTTGGAGAGCTTAGTGAATGGTTGGGTCAAGAATGAATTATAAAATGTTAGGTTTTATCCGTTTTTTTAAATTTTAATTTCTGCAGTTTTCTGCAACTTCTGAATTAAGAATATTTTACTTTTTAATTTAGAAAATATAATTTTGTTACATTTATGATAAATACATATGGATAAATAAAGTTTCAGGGATGGAATTAAGTTGGGGCAAGTCTAGAACATGAGTCTCTGGGTCTTCTGTCTATCTACTGCTAAGTAGTTATCAGCTTTTAATTTATATCAGTTCTTTTCCCTAAATTTTTCAGTGATATTTTATTATAGATTTGTGGATCACCTGTAATACTAATGACCTTTTCTCCCTGGTAGGATATCTGTAAAGCCCTGTGGTGCCACCGGATCGGAAGGAAATGTGAGACTAAGTTTATGCCCGCAGCAGAAGGCACTATTTGTGGGCTTGACATGGTAAGGAGCTAATCTTAGGTCATGAGTCATGTTCAGATGTCAGGGCCTTTCTACCCATGCATCTCCCCTCCTCCTGTGTCGGTATTCTGTCAGCCCGTGTTCCTCATTTCTATGTGCAAATTTACCCCCAGGTCAGAAGACGGTGTTTAATTTATATCAATACTGTGAATGGGGCTCCTTCCTCCTTTTGCCCCTTTCCCGATGATGTAATTGATGGGCTATCTGCAATTAGTAGATGTAGATGCCAGGCGACAGGTGGTGACTACATCCATTTAATAAGGGGAAACATGAAACTCTTGGCCGTATTTCAACCACATATAGAACCTGAGTTAAGTAGTATTATTAAAGCAGCAGAGCATCAATTTAAAGACCCTGGGCAGACCATTCTGACTTACCGTGTCTCCTGGGAAAAAGGAGAGGAGCTTTGGCAGGGAAAAGAAGTACATTAAGAAAGAAAGAAACAGCACATTTATTACTCACTGGGAGAGAATAATTTTGTTGTTGAAATTCAAAAATAAATTACCATAAAGTCCAAGAGTATTATTTTGATTCCTTTGACTCAACCTGTGATTGCATTGTTCTTTTTAAAATACAAGACCATTGAAAAAGACAGAGATATATTGGACCCAAATGAGCCCTGTACCCATTTCTGTGCCACTAGGCGTGTGACCTTTTTAGTGACACTAACGCACATGAAAGAGACACATGTGTAAATAGCACCGATCTGTTATGTGTTGATTCCAAAGCAAACGTATCACAGCCTGAGTCTATTTAAACGTAAGCACAGACAACAAGGGTTAAACATAAACAGCGCTAACTCCTGCATTCAGGTGAAAGTATTGCAACACTGACTGGGGACGTGCAGAGAGCTGCGTGCGCTTACCTGGGAAGGGCGCCCAGCAGCGACTTGTCCTGCATACGCCTCTGTGCTTTATTCGCAGTCCCCCAGAGTGTGGGGTGGATTCTTAAATCCTTCCAGAGATATAAGCAACAGTAGTTACATAACTTATAATCCCCCCCAAACTGAATAAAAATGCTTTTAGATTCTCAGAAGAGGAAAGGGACATGCGGATGCACTGCGGTGTGGAAATGCCCCTTGTCTCAGGAGGCTGGGGAAGCTGCCTGAGTACTAAGCTGCCGCTGGTCATCACTCTCTCCACATAATTGGCTAAAATTTACTCTTCAGGTGATAGTTTGCAAAAGTGTCTCCATTTCCTGAAAGATTGTCCATCCTCCCGCTGTTGCCCCTGGGTTTCAAGTCACACGGGCATGGGGTGCTTCTCCATCGCCTACTTCCTGTAGGACTGATCAGAGCAGTGACCTTCCTCAGAATAACCTATATATTCTTACATTTTATTTACCCCGAAAGCACAGTTAAATTGATGGTCATGGGTATTTTTAAATTATTCTCAGTGTATTTCCAAATATGGGCCTTTCCTTCATATAAAAAAGAAATAGTGCATGCTAAGCCAGAACGCATGCCTAAAATTACTCAGGAAAGATGTGTTCTGCCCAGGGGCTGCACGGTGGCCACGGTGGGGCAGCACTGGAGGCTCCTGTGAGAGCTCCCTTTGCTGTTAGTTGTGTGTCTTCCTGTGTTATGGGTTCTTGTGTGTCCCTGAGGTTTACTGATTTAGGCGTGTGCATTACCAGAAGTCAGTATCTCAGTGCTTACAGGATATCCCAGAGCAGGTGGTGTGTCCTGGATGACTGGCAATAACCATACTGCTTCTGTGCACTTTTCTCCTGGGTGGGGGCCTATTTCCCTCCACCCTGTACTGCCTTTGAGGCTTGTGCATGGTGGTAAATGGAACTAAATTGCATTTTGTAGTGTCAGACTCCATCCTTAGTACATCACATACTTTCAGTCCTCACAACCACCCTGTGAGGGTGAGCCCATTGCAGCCCCACTGTGTACTCAGGAACCTTCCAGGGAAAGAACACTAGGGTCCTTTGTGCTCACACCATGGGAAATCCAGGACGAGGGTTTCGTACTACAGCCTAATGCATAGGAAAGCAGATTCTAGCTCTCTAACAATCATGGGTCCCTAATGTAGTATATTAAACCACTCTCACGTTATATTTACACCTGGTGCTAGGTACTTGGTCTGTGTCATTGCATTGCATTTTGGGAACAATTCATTCTGGTAGTTTGTACCATCCCTAAGGTTCTCAGGAGGATGTGCAGGCTCAGAGCACTTGAGTAACTTGCCCCAGGCCACACAGCAGCAGAAGTAGTACAGAGGCTCCTTTCCTCCCCTCTCCCCAAGTCCACTGTTGTACTTTATCGGGGTGCTTCCTGTGTGTGCTGGGTTTTGGTGTGACATGCAGACTCTGGGGACAGCATCACAGCAGAAGCAAGCATACACAGTGCCATCTTGCTTGCTAAGGTAAAGCCTTCTCTCAAAAGCCACAGTGTCCATCAATAAATATAAAATGGTGAGAAACATGGGACGGTCCTCAGAAACTTAACTGGTGTTTCGGTGGAAATGTCATATGTCTGTTGAACACAGGCTCTTCCCCTGACCTGCTCACGGTGGGCTCCACAGGTCTGTGACCTGCGTGGACTTACACTCCAGGTCGTGTGTGTGTGTGTGAGTGCGTGTGTTTGTGCTTCTGTCGGCCCGCACCCTTGCATCCCCCCAACCTCCATGGCAGAAGGTACAGTGCTTTCTCCTCAGATTTTCAGAAAGGTTTTTTAAAATAACTTTTAAAAGGATAGTCACTTAAGGATACTCTGGTGCAGATAGCAGAAGCTGCATGGGCAAGGCTGCTCATGGCAGCAACAACTGTGACAGCTGCAGACTGGGAATCATGCAGGGGTCCAGGAAGAGAGCAAAACCCGAAATGCAGAATGAGAGACCTGTCTACACACTTCCAAGTGATGATCTCCAGACGCACTATTAGGTGGAGAAGCACATGAAAGAACATGTGTTGTGTGTGATCACTTACCAAAGACAAGGGAATACTAATCTGTATAAATACTTCCTTTCATTAAAAAATAAAGGGAATAAGCCATATATTTTTTTTTTAAAGTACTTTGTGTAATTGTAAAACAAAATTAAACCAGCTCTTCCAGGGACGGCGTCCATAGGCATTCAGAATGGTCCAGCGTTTGACCTAACATTGTAGGCTGTCCTGCAGGACAGCCTCTAACAAAACTAGGCTGTCCCGAACCCCTGGTAATAGAATCGTTTACCTTTATACCCAGAAGGTTGGGAAAGCACCAAAATCTGCACGTGGCGTCGGCCCAGGCCAACTTCGAGGAGTTCGTGCTGTAAGACCTAAAGTCCTTATGAGGTTGTCCTAAACGAAGAAACACGTCATCAGGGCCTCTGGTGGTTCCGCGTGTGCTAAGTGTGTTTGTGACAGGATCAAGCGTGTTTTCCTTACCGAGGAGCATAAAATCGTTGTGAAAGTTTTGAAGGCCCAAGTGCTGAGTCAGAAAGCTAAATAAAAAAATGAAGCTTTTTTGAGTAATAAAAAAAATCAAAAGTCTTAAAAAAAATTAAACCAAATTTTCTTAAAGTGATCCTTAAATACCAAAAGCAAAATCAATTTAACCAACTTGTTGGCTTAATCATAACCATCAAGGAAGAATTATTTCAAGTGACTTTAAAACCTGAAAACATTTTCTGAGTTTTCAACTCCTGGGTTCCTATGTTCCCATTTTCTTTCTTTGTATTAGAAAGCTCCGACCAGATCATTCTTTTAAAATGGGACAAAACAATCACAACAGACACCATCCTTATCCATCGGTGTCCCTCTGTGTCCCTCCTTGTCCCAGGGCCCTGCCCGAAGTCCCCATGAGCTGGTCCCTGCTTTGCCCAGATCCAGCTCTCTCCTTGGACTCACGAGGCCATCAGGGAGCAGACACCTTGCTGTCAGCTGCATGCCCCTCATTGAGCTGAGGGTGTCAGGGGGATTCTAGGACTTCCTTCTATCACCTGGGGTGTGGCCAGGAGGTAACAAAAGAGTGAGTTATTTATTTATTTACTTACTTACTTCTCAGAAAGAATCAAAGAATTGAATGAATGAGGCTTTAGTCCTCAGAATTACTTATGTTCCATTTTTCTTCCCTAAATGATATTAAACCATTTGTAACTGCCATTTCTGTGTGACAATGGTCAGATATCAGCAACTTGATATGTTTTCACCAAACACAACAATTAATAATGGAAGTATTATTATTTTCCTCTTGGAAAGTCCCATTTTTTCGCCCAGAACAAATCTGGTGGTCCTCATCTGGGAGACAGACACACAGGAGACCTCAGCCCATCCCCACCCCGAGCCCTCGGGCCGGGCTCTGCTGCTCCATGCAGGCCAGCAGCAAGGAACAAGCCAGTTCCTTTTCTCCTCTCAGCAGATGGCCAGAAGATCCCTGAAGTCTACACCAAACCATGGGCAGAAAACCAGCACCGCTGAACACAACGTTAGATGTTGTGTGGCCTTTACGTGTGATGGCAGCAAAGTAAACGTGGCTTTTAGCTTGAACTAACATTGATGAGTGCTCCTCTTGCGAAAGAAGAGTTGATAGAATCCCCAGCCTCGTGGGGACGGATGGAGCTCCTGTGTGGGTTGTTTAATCTCCTCGGGAAGCGGTCTGACCTCTGACACGCATCCGCTAACAACCTCCAGGCTCCAGGCTCGGAGCCCAGGTGCTTGGGAGTGAAGGCACAGAGCACTGGCCAGAAATGACAAGGTGTTGAGTCATATGGAACCTGCAGCTGGACTTTTCTACCCGAGACTCTGTCTGTTTCCAAAGAGCTCTGAAAAGCACGTTGTTCCAGAAGAGGTTGGAGTTTACTCACTGGAGAGCTCAACAATCGGGCTGAACATCCGTGCAACACCACTTAATTAAATGTGCAGAATTCCAGCAGCTCAGACGTTAGAAAATGATTCTTCTCTGGATTGTCCCTCTGTGGGCATTTATGAAATCACGTTAGGTTTGGAAAGAAAAAAGCTACATTAATTTTATTTGTATTATGTGCTACCTGAAGGTGGGATGTTGATGTCTGCCTGCCCTGCAGAGCTCTCCAGGGCTGAGCATTACGGCAGCCATGGACCCACCTGTCCATCCGTGAGTCATGTCAACCGTTCTTTCTTTCTTTTCTTTTTTTTTTAACTTTCAGTGGTGCCGTGGAGGAGAGTGTGTGAAATATGGCGACCAAGGCCCCAAGCCCACCCATGGTCATTGGTCAGACTGGTCTTCCTGGTCCCCCTGTTCCAGGACCTGCGGAGGAGGGGTCTCTCACAGAGACCGCCTGTGCACAAATCCCAAGTAAGCACGTCGGCACGTCCTCCTCATGAGCGATTTCTAGGCTGTGAACCTCCCCAACAGCCTGCGTACAGTAATATTGATCCGTACGTCACATAGTATTGTAGGAATCAGTGGGAAGGTACAACCACATGGATGGACCTGGAAGGTATTATGCTGAGCGCAGTAAGTCAGTCAGAGAAAGACAGATAAATGATTTCACTCATATGTGGAACTTAAGAAACAAACAACAAAAGGGGAAAAAATAAGAGAAAGAGGGACAAAGCAAGAAACAGACTCTTAACTCTAGAGAACACACTGATGGTCCCCAGAGGGGGGTACATGGGGGGACAAGAGAAACAGGTGATGCGGATGAAGGAGTGCACCTGTCGTGATGAGCACCGCATCTGAATATTACATTATATGTTAACTATACTGGAATTAAAAAAAAAAAAAATCACTAAGTAGGGAAGTCATTTTAGTCAAGTATTTCTCAAACAGTGGTATCTCTTCGGTATAACTTAGGATGCTTGAAACTACTTGACCATAGCACAGGGAAACAGACCCAGCAGTGGTATTCAGGAAATGGATTTTTACCACATTTATGTGAAATACCAAGGTAAGCAAATCAATCATGAAAGCATAGACAAATGAATAAGAATCTGTAAGAACCACTTTTTATGTGCAAAAAGCCAAATGTTTGGTCTTTCATCCAATATATTTAGCTTTGCCACCCGTGGTTTAATTGTGGCCTTCTGTGAGAAGACACGGCCATCAAAGGTGGTCCCCAGTGCAGTGGGGTGGAGGAGGTTCCCAATCCTCCTTTTTCACCTCAATTGGTTTAAAACATGAGTCATATGACAGCTCTTTGGTCATGTCCTCAATGTGTGATACCCAATATGTCCCTTGCGTTGAGTGGGTGCCCTCTCCGGGGTGTGTCCACATGGATTCTAGAGGGGTGAGCAGGTGCTCTTTGCTGTCAGCACCAACCGGCGGAAGGTCACGACTTCTAAGCCGATCTGCTGACCTGGCCTGGCCGCAGGGAAGATGGTGGTAGAAGGTCCCTCTATGGAGTGCGGGGAACAGCGATGGCACCTGCCTTCTGCAGGGGTGCTGGGAACCAGCCGTGAACAGGCAGCAGTCAGACCCACTTCCACATCGTAACTTGCCCTAGAGACATCAGTAACACGGCTCATATTGTTCATGGTGAGAAAGTGCCAGGGTCCCCTCGGGGTGTGTAGCTTCTCCCTTGGTCACTGTGAGCCATTTAACCGGATCTGCTCCTCTCTCCAATGAGCCTAGTTCCCAGGGAGGGGAGAGTCGCTATTGAATGCAAGGTTTCTAACCGTTCCAGACCATCGCACGGAGGGAAGTTCTGTGAGGGCTCCACTCGTACCCTGAGGCTCTGCAACCGTCAGCAGTGTCCGCACAATAGCCTTGACTTCCGCGCACTGCAGTGCGCCGAGTACAATGGCAAACGGTTCCGAGGATGGCGCTACACGTGGAAGCCATACACCCAAGTGGAAGGTAAATCCTAAATCCCTCTCCCGGTACCAGCCTCGCGCTTTGTTATCTGCACTCTTGCAAGAGTGGCATGATCTTAGCTGTGCTGCTCGGATAGACCATGCTGCTGTGTGAGGTCGCTGCCAGGGCTCTTCGCCTGCCCCACGGCCACCGACTTCTGGTCTAAACTGGACCGGCTGCGTGGTCGGAAAATAGCAAGCAACTAGAGAGGGTGTGCACCACACAGCCAGATCTTCAAAGAAGTGACAAAGCTTTCAAAATACAGGATTTATGCATCATGGGTCAATGTTTTCCTCCTTACAAATCACGGCAGTTGATGGTGATATCGCTGTAAGCATGTCACCCCATTGAACACTTATCATGGCCAGAGAATGGGAGCAAAACTTTAGCATCTTTTGGAAAAGCAGATCATTTTCAAGTGTACTATTTTCAAAAGTCTTGATCTAAACCAAGAAGGTTATTTGCACCATATGTCCGATTTTAATCTCTAGGTTGAAAGAAAGATCTATTAATCTTAAGATTAAAATACCTTGAACACGGTAGCTCATTTGGCAGTAATTTAAGGAGAAATTCAAAGAATAGCTAGTCATCTCGCTCTTTGAAACCGGGAATACCGAAATACATGAATCTCCTCTGAAGTTACCCCTCCCCAGCCCAATAGACAATGTTTTCTTGCTGAGAGCTTGATGAACTTACAAAAAGCTAACTAGCCCTGATGAGTACTTTATGCTCTATGTGTGTATGCATATATATCGCTCTAAGATAAACAATGGATTGAACTTACAAAAAGCTAACTAGCCCTGATGAGGCTGAGAGCTTGATGAAGTCAGTACAGTCTCAAAGGAAAATTTTAAGCAGTTTCACACAAAGCATTTTTGGTTGTGTTTTGAACTCCTAAACTCAGTAAAATTTGAGCCAGTGAGAAATAAGTAGGCAGGAGAAAAAAGAGAAAGGACTTTGAAATTAGGGTCAAAATATGTGTGTTACCCCTGACTCCGCGATCCCAGGAAATAAATACATTTATCGTGGAAGCACATACTCAACTTGACTGTTAGGGTTATTCAGTTGGTTTCATCTTACACAATAAAGAAAATATTTGTAGATGAGTCTTGAGCCCATGAAAATTCCTAAGGCAGACTATATTTTCATCATCAACTCTTCCCTTCTTTACCAAGAAGAATGAAGGGAAAAAGTTTCTATGAAAGTCCATATTAATTATGTAAATCATAAAATCTTTGAAATAGATTATCAAGAGAGGAAGTCACCTTGATCTGCCATGCTGAAGTGTACAATAATACCTTTATTCTCCACGTTATCAGTGTGTTTCGACAATCATTATATTCATAGAAATCATTATCCTCTGGAGAGTTCATCTAGAAGTTATTCCTTTTATCAGTTCAAAAATACATATTTCATCAAATGCGTTAGCTATTAAGAAATTTGGTGATCATTTGAACTCTTTTATTACATTTTATTTGTGAGAATTTTATATATTGCTCCTAAATGGTAACGACCTTTTGCATTTCTACAAGAGAGTAGTTAATCATACGAGTAGTAGAACAGTTATGTTGTATTCAAGTCAACAAATATTTATTGAATGCCTACTATGTGCCACTTCTGGGTAAAGAACAAGGGCAGGAAAGGACACAGCAGAGTAAAAATTAATAGTGAAGCCTTATACAAATTAAAAATTAAAGGGAAAAAAACCCAAGCCTCCTGAGACAACCATAAAAAAATGTCTTTGCAATGAGTATTGTGTGGAAGTTATTTTATGGGGAAAAAAAAAAACCTTTAAAAAGTCTATCTAAAATTTAGAGCAAAAATGATCAGAGCTTAAGTATCTTTCTTATTTGTGTTTGTGTGTGTATTTCTTTTTAAGATCAGCACTTATGCAAACTCTACTGTATCGCAGAAGGATTTGATTTCTTCTTTTCTTTGTCAAATAAAGTCAAAGATGGGACTCCATGCTCGGAGGATAGCCGTAATGTTTGTATAGATGGGATATGTGAGGTAATAATGATCGTTCATTCATTCAACACATGTGTCCAGACAGTCTGCTTTGTGCCAGGCATCCTCTAAGGGGCTAAAGACACCAGACATTAAAATCCCACCCTTTCTCTCCGACTCACAGCCTGGTGGGGGGGCGGGATGCCAGACGAACACACACTGAGACACATGGGGTTTGTTGCAGTCGAGGTGCGTACAGAGGATGGGGAGTGGGGGAGAGCAGATTCCTTCCTGGAAGCAGATCTGGGGGATTTATGGAGCTCCTTGGAGAAGGGAGCTTCTGAGCTAGATCTGGAAGGGTGAGTTGGCAGAGGCGTTTGGGGGAGCAGACTCCTGCGAGAAGGCCTGGTTTGGTAGGCCCCAACTCAGGCATCAGAGTACCCAAGGGCAGACAGGGCCGGGGTGCCGAGGGAGGTGAGGGGGCAGGAAGGGATGCTCAGAGGGTTTGTATCCTCACATCAGGGAGGAACAGGCCCTGGGACCCCAGAGGAGCAGAGCGGGGGTCAGCCTGCAGTAACATGGGCAGCAGTGAGGATGGGGACAGCTTTGAGCCCCGAGGCCACTTGGCATTGTGCAGGGGTCTCTTTGGTGGAGGGACTTGGAAGAGAGGCTGGGAACGATTTGGTGGCTAAGTGGCCATAGAGCCCTGAGCTTGCTGCCCCATGCAGAGGTGGGATGGGGAAGGAATTCTGTTATATGCAGAAAGTGAAATCTTTACCGGATCAAATACATTGCATGTGAACAATGGGTTTTTCCTTGAGGTGACTCGGGTTGTGTACCCACGAGTCCAAGGACCTTGGACTTCCTTCTAGATTTCTCTGAGTTGGATGACCAGGGTCTTTACCCTGAGACATCCCCTCAGGGTCATCCCCTGAGACACACAGTGTCATCCTTTTTAGTAGGTGAAGATCGACTCCGATCTATTGAGTTTTCTTTCAGCTTTAAAATGTTCAGATCTCTGTCCATTTTGTCTAATTACTAGTTGACTTGTTAAATACTTCATTATTTTCAGGTATCCTTAATGATACAATGTCACAACCCCTTACGTGTAGTTCTGAAATCCCAAAAGCTATCTAACAGAAAGTTTGTTGGGCTGCACAATGTAAGCTGCCCTGAATTTGTTCGCTGGCCAAAACCCGCCCTGAACTGATATGAGACTTTTTTTCAGTTTTATTTAGTTCGCTTAGAGTTATGATGCTCGCATTTTACTATAGAAACATCATTTATGTGCTTTATTAGGGTTGCTGCCCTGGGCCCTGCTGGGACTCTCACGTTATATGCATAATATGTTAATTACCTTCCTAAAATCCAAAAACCCTGAGTTTTGAAATGCATCGGCCCTAAGGATTTCAAGCAAGGACTTGCAGGCTGTAGTTACTTCATTTCTGAATGGATTTTTTTACTTGTATATACTAACTCTTTGTTAGGAAGTATAACACTAGCAGCACCACTGAGATTATAAAGAGCCCCTTAAGTTCTAGGACAGTAAACAGATACGCCTGCTACATAATTTACTGCTGGGAATAATTCCCACGTGGCATGTGCTACTTCTCTGCATTGCACACGGTGATACAGAGGCATGCGGCAGGTCCAGTGGACCCTCCTGTGGACACACTGCTTGTCATTTCTACTAAGAAGAGCTTTGTGTCAGTCTGAAATGCACTGTTGTGTCCAGCATGATGCTCTGAGAGATTTAACTGAGGGCTCCAGAGACTGAGGTGGTGCAGCCGTACTGAAGAGAACAGGAGTCAGGGTCTCCTCCTTTGGACCCGAGAGTCGAGTTACAGTCTCGCTGTGCACATATTTGGTATCCAATAAATATTTGTGAACTACCCTGTGTGGGTGAAATGTTCTGCTGTCTCGGGGAGGTTTCTCACTGGAGGTCTGTGACTTTGCCCTTGTCGTCTTCTCTTGCACGAATGACGTGGGACCCCGGTCCCCCAGAGAGTCGGATGTGACCATGTCCTTGGGTCCAATGCTGTAGAAGATTCCTGTGGTGTGTGCAGGGGCAATAACTCAGACTGCACGACGCACAAGGGGCTCTATGCCAAGCACCATGGCGCCAACCGTGAGTACGCGAAGCTGCCTGAAGGTGTGGAGACAACATGGAGAGTGGGACTTCCTGGTGGGCAACCCTGGAGGTGCAGGGGGGACAGCAGCCTCACGGGTCCTTCAAAGACCTACAAATCTCCTTCCCTGCTTTACTTGTCAAGCCTTTCCTTTGGATGGGAAGCGGTTGCTAGGTTACTATTAGCGAAAATGATAACAGTTCTGCTCCAATTTAAAAAAAAAAAAGAAAAAGTCACTTAAAGACCTAATGGAACTGACTGCCACACCAGAGCTTCTCCTGGTTCCCAATGTGGATCCTCAGGTTTTGGTGGTGGGGAACCCCAGGTGCGTAGGGATTTCACGTAGGTGTTACTGAATGAGAAACCACATTCTCCCCGATCCTGATTCCTTTACTGTAGAGTATTATCAGATGGTCACCATTCCTCCTGGAGCCCGGAGTATTCGCATCCACGAGATAAACGTGTCTACCTCCTACATCTCTGTGCGCAACGCTCTCAAAAAATACTACCTGAATGGACACTGGACGGTCGACTGGCCCGGCCGATACAAGTTTTCAGGCACCACGTTTGACTACAGACGGTCCTCCCACCAGCCGGAGAGCTTAACCTCGTCTGGGCCAACCAACGAAACACTGGTTGTGGAGGTAGACCCCAGCCTTCTCATCTTCGGGCTGGGATGTGGGGGTCTTCTGGCATTGGTGCAGATCGAGGGCTATGGGAATAATTTTAAATGCAGAGAATAATGTTTACAACTTGATGGCGTCTCAGAAACAAGACTAATGGGTACATTGAATGGGGCCATCGACTCGTTCTCTTTCCTTTCTTGGGGCCTCACCAAATTTGTATTTATGCACATAACGCAGCTCCTGTTTGGGGTCCTTTACAGTGGATTTTTACAAAAGTCTGCCCCTGTCCTGTAAGCTGTCTGGCTGTGAAAAGCTTGGACACTCAGGGGACTCTGCCTTTGCCTGTGTTTGGGGTGGGATCAGCATTCCACTGAATCCTGTGGAATGGGAGCGAGTTGAGCACCCAGAAGCAAAGCCCCTGCTGCGCCCTCAAATGGGCCCCGGTGTGCAGGGAGGGGGCCACGCAGCCTCCTCCTGACCCATTGCCCTTCTGTTCTCTACCCACGACCGCAGAGGCTCACAAGCTGCAATTAGTCTCTTCCTACAACATGATCTGTCCCCATGGGACTGGGCAGATGGAGGTGGCAGGCACTGGATATGCTAATTCCTTACATTTTGTATTTCTGTGCACGGTTAAAGCACGTGGTTCAAAAGTTGCCCCACCAGCCCACAACTGGGTACACAGATGTGAGCCCCTCACATGTCCCCCACCTGCTTTGGGGGCCAAGCAGCCCCCTCTGTCCTCTCATATCTTCCTGGGAGATGCTTCCCCCAGCGGTCTGGGGGCAGTCGCCCCATCTGCACACATCCCACCTCTGTCTCCCCTCCTGACCCTGATCTGTTCCCCTCACCCTGAATTCTTGCCTTGATTATTTCTCCCACCATCTCAGGCTTCAGCTGGAATAATCACACAGAAGGAGAGATAGGTCAAGTGTGAAGATGAACATGGCTTATTAGGAACTGTTCTGGGTGGAAGAAGAGTTGCAAAGGCTCAGGATGTCAGGCAGGAGAACATCTCAGTGGCCTGGCCGTGCCTCCACCTGTCCGGGGCCCTCCCCTGTCCTACAACACCTTCAGCAACTAAGACTTGACCTGTGTTGTCAGGGAGGGGAACGCGGTGCCAGGTTGTCAGGGAGGGGCCAATATCTTTACCCACTGGCACATCACATCAGGACCAAGAAAGGCTCTAAGACTCAGAGAAGGGATTTCTACCAATGGATTAATGGTGAGGTTTCCAAAATAAAAATCCTTCTCACTGAGATCAGTGGATCCGATACATTCATGAGTGAAAGGGAACTGGTCCAAATGATTGGGTTTCAAGCTAGGAGGTGAGGATTCCAAATACAAGGTGCCAAGCCACGGCTCACGGACAGGCTCAACCTGAGAGATCTTTACTGATAAGATAGTTTTCTTCTGGATCTACAGGGTGCATGCCACGTGGCAAAAGACCTCTGCATCCGGCCACACTAGCAAGTCCTCTGACTCGGCTTTGATGGTGGCATGGGTGATGCCCACTCAAGAGGCCTGGGCTGCTTGGAATCACTAGGAAGTGGGACAGTGCCTTATAGGCATTGCTTTCTGATTCTCTCAGATGGACAGGATTTGCGGGGGATCCCAAGGAAACACTGGGGGACGTTACCAAACACTTTAGTTAGGTTGCAAAGGTGTTCAAAGTCTTGCATGGAGGAATATACTAAATGTAAAGCCAAAGAGTAAAATATCTACATTTTTTTAAATGAGTCTGATTCTCGCCGGCAGTTCACTTCTGTTTAAAAAGTTCATATACATTTTGGAGGATGGACAGTGTTTCCCATTGTAACACTGATTGTTGATATTGATGTTTATGTATTATTTAAAAATTAGCTTATATTTATCAGTTCCATTTTAACTTGCTCTGTTTTCCCCCTTTTTATTTTACAGCTTCTGTTTCAGGGAAGGAACCCGGGTGTTGCTTGGGAGTACTCGGTGCCTCGGCTGAGCAGGGAAAAGCCTGGCAGCCAGCCTCGCTACACGTGGACCATCATCCGCTCCGAGTGCTCCGTGTCATGCGGTGGGGGTAGGTCACTTCTCACGCCTCCCCTGGTGGTGGGCACTGAGGGGCCCGGGTGCATTTGGGCCACGGGCACGCTGCACTCACGGGTCCTCACCGTGTCCTGGCAGGTAGCCCGTCCCCAGAGGGAGAGCAGAGAGCAGGGCTCTGAATGTCCCTCGAAGGCCTGGCCTGCCTTCTCCCATCATCTGCGTCAGCGTGTGGCTCTGAGGAAGTCATGCACTGAATTGGTTTCTAATTTCCATCTAAGTGAAGATTTGATAAACAATAGTTTTGCTATTTGAGATTATTGAAATGATAGTCACTCCAGTTATTATATCTATCATGTTGGTGATGAGAAATAGAAGCTTATGTTGAAAATACTGTGATACAGACGGAGGTTTTTGTCTAATCGTCTTGCTCAAAAAATATACTATGAAGTCGTGTATTGAAATTCACCCAGAAACCATATGAATTTTATGCCAGTTGCAGTGGAAATGACTAGAAACAGCATGTCAGAGAGGAGAATTTCACATGACAGTCGATGCCTTGGTCATCTTAAGACCATTAGAATTTGACCATAGGAATGTCTAAATCGGTAAAGGTAGCTCACTTCAGGAACATTCTCAGCTAGAGCCAGACATACTGTCTGACAAAGAGTGGTGAGCAAATTTTTCAAATTTAGAAACACAATACTCAATTCTACCTAATATTTCAAAAACACACAAGTTTTCATATGGATATACAGATTTCAGCTTTGTGAATTCCAGCTTTTAATAATTAAGAAGTTAATTTAGAGAGTTGATATTTAAGTAAAAAGGTACACAAAATGGAGACTTGCATGAAGTAAGAATGTAATGAATAAAGAAAAAGTAAACCTGAATTCATATATTCTTAATAGTTGCTCTAATAAAAGACATAAAAGAAATAGAGAAAAACAAAGATTAACAAAAAAACGTAAGTCTGGACTGCTGACACTCATGTGCTTGACACACACTAATTCTCCCCATTATTAACTAAAAATAAAATATTGAAATCCTGTTTAAATTCTGACATTAAGAGCTTCCTAAGGAAAAGTCTGATTCCCTTCTGCACACAAGGAGAGCAAGCAAATGGCTTTAATTACAAAATAGAGAGTAGTATATGGGCCCCTCACGGGGGACGGGGCCAGACGAGCTACCATGTGCCGCCACTCAGGGAATGGAGGAATAGAACTATGTTCACAGGCATCCCCTGTGTATGACATGGGAAAATTAATTTCTAATTATACTTATTTCTCTTCCCTTTCTCTTCTGATCTTAAAACAACCCCTCATGCTTTCACAGATTATATTGAATATATAGTTGATTTTATCCATCCCTATTTAGAGATATCTAATAGAGTTTGGTTAAATTAACAACTGAATCACAAAGCTTTATATTTGGGCAAGGACATTATGATTTTCAGAACTCTTCTTTGTACGTTTTCATTTGGTGGAAAAAAAAAATAGAAAGAACTACATGGGAACGTCTGCAGAGGATGGCGGGTCTGCCCCTGTTTCTTTATGGCAGCTTCATTCATGTCCCCTGTTCGCGTGTCAGGCATTCCAAGGAGCACTTGGTTTTCTCAGCTTTTACCGAGTTACTCGTCTCAGGGTCCCGAAAACGCTGTATGTGTGATTAGTGTACTTGCAAATCACCTAATTAGCCCTCAGTAATAGTTCTCACATTGAGGTTTTTAGAAGAAATCAACCCAGAACCCATTCCATAATCATTTGCTTAAAGAACGGCATTATCGAGTCAGTGAATGTGTTGTTTGTTTTCAGTTTGGGTGGAAAAATTGATGGGAAATTAGGGTTTGTCAATTCAACAACTAGATGGAGGGCAGGATGCCTGACCTTCAGCACCTCATGTGGGATATGACTCTTCTGAGAGTCTTCCTGGTAGAAACCGGACCTGCCAGGGTCCCGAGACTCAGCACTTGGTCCAAGTACCCCTCACTGGCCACATGGGAACCGTCAGGAAGGGTTACACTGACCCTCCCCTGTTTCCCTGAAAGGAAACAGCATGCCTTCAACTCTCCTGCTCTCTAAGGGCCCCCCGGGACTAATTCTCCAGAGAAGCAAGAGGACAGTGAGAAAAACACTATTGCCATTTATTGAGCACCTTGTGTGTGTAGTCACAAGCGCGGTCTTGCGGAAACCCGCAGCAGGGTTTGAGAGTGGAAACAGGACGTGCTTGCTGGGGGCAGCTCTGGGCTGCAGGAGGGCACCATCCACAAAATCTTTGCAACAGCGTTTCATGTGCTTGAATCTGTAAGATTTTACGAGTATCAGTGCATGGAAGCAATCATTATTCATGTCTTGGAGGTCTTGGTATTATTTCCCCGCATTCTGTAGAAACCAGAGGTTCAGAAGTTTCAGAAATTCCCCCAGATAACCCAGCAGGCAGTGTGGATTCAAACAACTCCACTGACTCCGTGTGCTTCCCACCGCGGCCAAACTCCCAACCGTCCACGATGCTCATAGGCTGTTGTCCGTTCACATTCTTTAACAAAGATGATTCTACTGGGAAGCACGGTGATTTCAGCCTGCATCTTCCCTTCACAGTGAGCATTTGCTCATCGATGGGAACGGTGGTACCCGGAACAGAAGCCTGAGAGGCGGCGAGTGAGATCTCCACCACCTTATCAGTAGCGCTTCCTTTCATGACCACTTGAAGGTCAAGGCTTTGTCCTGTTCAGTCCTAACATGTGCTGTTTTTTGATCTATGTTTCATGGACTTGTCAGACCTCCCCCAGTAGCCTCAAATCACATGGTTATTTGCCAAGGATTAAAGATAACGATTCCTTTTCAGGTAGGGGCGTTTAGTTCCCCAGACTTGATTACAAGTGGTTGTCTTGATGTTTCGGTGTTTCAGGATTTGATGGTATCTGATGACACACATCTTCTGGAGATAAATCCTTAGTTACTTTAGGTTTATACAATGTTTTGTTCATTCTGTGCTGTCGGATCCTCTCACTTCTGAAAGGTGGGCCAGGTTTTTTAAAATGTGCATTATCTGAAAATAGGACTGAATGATTAACATTGGAGGCTGACCGTTCAAAATGGGTCCGTTCTTGTGTTTTCAGTTTTACGAGAGAATAACTAAATTCACCAGCGAATCTGATAAAGAGCACTTGATTCCTGTCTTCCTTTCTTGGGGACCTCGTTCAACACATCACCCAACATTCTCAACCCAAGACAAAGGGAAGGAATGGGCACCAGTTTCATTTTATCTGCCCATGTTGTGTTTTCAGGATCTCTAGTTGCACAGACCTTCCGACATCCTGGGTTATTAACTTTTCAAAGCATACTTTTCTTAGCTATCTCCCTGTGAACTTAATATCTATAAGGGGACCTTTAAATGACCCAGTTAGGGAATTAATGAACTGAGAAAGACACTTGGAAACTACCCCACCTCTTGTTTCATTCAAGAAACATGCATTACCTGTCATCAGTGGAGGAAACATAATGGGGTTTTTTTTGTTTTTGTTTTTGTTTTTTAAGAGGTGTCATTTCCTTCTCTATTCTAATGGACCCATCTCTCTCTGGAAAATAAGATTTCCTGACAGACACAGGGCAGGTCCGACCATTCATCTTCTTTCCTCTCAAGGTTCCCCTGCTCCTTTTTCCTTTCCACTCACTTTTATGATATAACCACATTTTTTATTTCAATGATCCTGTTTAGTTGTGCCTTGACCGGACTCTCAGCCAGTGTCTGGGCATCGGTGAGGGGTCTGGGCTTACACAGAGAGACAGGAAGCCAAGAATATAGTTCACATAGGAACTGGCTTAGCTGATGAAGTCTGACTCTAAGGTGGACACTGTTTTCACATGGTAATGACATCACTAGACTCTCGTGGCCAATGTAAAAGCATCAGACATTTCTCAAAATTACAGATGCTGTTATTTTTAAAAATCAGCCTCTGATCCCATTGGTTCAGTGCATTTCAAATAACTAATCTCAAACGGCTGATTTGCTTCCAAGTGAAATGCTTATTAAAATTTGGCTTATACCTACATTCTAAACTCTCCAGTATGCTCCATGCAATGTCTGGGGTTAATGCTTTTCGTTTAAGTGAAAATATTGATCTGATTTACAATTAAAATTTCTCAGACAAATCTTAGGGGTGCCTGGGTGGCTCAGTTTGTTAAGCATCCCACTCTTGGTTTTGGCTCAGGTCATGATCTCAGGGGTGTGAGATCGAGCCCCGCATTGGGTTCCACGCTCAGCAACTCCTCTGGCCTGCCTGTCCTTTGCTTCTGTACTCGTGATCTGATTTAATCCTGGTGAAAATGCCGTGAGACATCAGGTGTTATTCACCTTCTGATCATGCAGAAATGGAGGTAAATGCTAGACTAGGACTTGAAAGGATAATTTTATTTAAGCTCTCAAATCAATCTATGCAGAATGCCCAGGATCTGGTCACAGCAACTGCATGGAAATGAACAAGTGAACACAAAAGAGCGTATATTCTGCCTTCCAGGTCCCATCATTCCAACATGGCTGTGGGATCGAGCACCACTTGGATTTGTTTATCCTTGGTTTTGAGTCTCTTTTGTACCAATTTCCTATTTGTAAGTTTTCTTGTTGTTCTGAAATTCTCCTTGGGTCTGAGGAAAGGACTTGGGGCCCGGGTTTGGTGTCGACTGAGTTGTGAGCATGTCTCCACCATGCTCACCGATGCTGAGCTCCAGAACACCCCCAGGCCTCAGACCATGGTCCCCACCACCCCACATCAGGACCACCATCAGTTTCTCTGGCCCTGTTACACCTGGCTTGGGTGTGGTCTGTTTTTGCTGTTTGCTGCCTTCTCTCTGTGTTTAGATTCTGTGACAGCCTGGAACAGACTTGGGCCGTGGTTGGTTGTGGCTTTTGTCACATTTATTAGCTGCTGTGTCCTCAGGGTCTAGCAATGCGTCTGGCACTCACCAGCCACCAAGGATCTATTTGTCAAGTGGACAAATGCAGGACCTCGATGACTTTTTGATTTAGAAATACATGAAG